TCGAAGCCGTGGTTTCTGATCTACCCAGGCCCGTTCTGGAGGTAAGGGGGTGTTGGGCTTAGGGCTTGGGGTTTAGGAGTTTGGCGTTTGCGTGATCAGTTGCGGGCTTGTGGGTTCATGGTCTCAGGGGTTTATGGGATTAACGTACGGGTATGCCGTCGCTTAGGGGGGCTCGTTGTAAATTCTGGAAGCCCAAGGCCAAAGATATTTCAAGACATTATAAAGCCAGCCGCGGGGCAGGGTTGTGCAGGCTAGCTCCCTCTTCCAACAGCACACGCCGTGTCTCCATACGGCCACTATAAATGCAGCTTTCTGAGACAGCATTCGCAAGGATCGCTTTCCATTGTCCTCAATCTTATTGCACGCCAAACCAGAACCGTCATCCTCATCTCCTGGCGCTCTCGGACCATGACTAACTTTGCCCGATTTCGAAGGGTGGGGCTTCTTTTTGGGTATGTTTTTGTGTATCGAATTTTGTTTCCTAAACCCTAAACCCTAAAAACCCTAAAACCATAATTAAAGCCCTAAAACCCTAATTAAACCCCAAACCTTAAACACTAAACCCATCTAAACCCTAAACCCAAAAACATATCCCAACAAAAACCAAACAATATACCACAAAAAACCTGGCGCCGTGAACCCCTAGACAGTTCAATACGCTTCCCAACAACCCTGCTCTCGGCTCGGGACGAACCCCCTTCGGAACCCCCTCACTGAAAGAGGGCCGGGCTGGGAAGTTTAAGGTTGCGGGTGCCTCACGCTTTCCCAAACCGTTTCCCTCTCACATTCAGAAAACAACCTCACTGCGGAAACGTATTTCCCGTTGAACGTTAGGAGAAAGAGCCCAACAACCCTAAACCCCTAACTTTCCTAATCCTAAAGGCCTTTGTGCGGTCTTGGCGGCCACGCCCCTCTTGACTCATCGGTTGGGGCAAGCCTCTTGGCACACTTTGCCGCCTGCCAATTGGACTTTGCCGGTGAGCCCAATACCCCCTGAATAAATATGGGGCTCTCCATAGTATTTTTGGTAATTATGTAGGTACGGTATACGTATACCTTTAACTGGGGGGCATTCAGTACTCTAAAAGGGGCTTAGGATTTTCAGGTTTTACAGGGTTTAGGGGTTATAAGTTAGTGCTGGGAAGAGGGATGTAGTATCCTTCATGTGACTATGGTGTTCCGAATGGGGGCAGGTAAGAACCACCCGCCCTGAGCACTTGGGCCCTAGGCTAACACTTCTTAGGGCCGCGGTAGAGGCTTTAGGCTTCAGGGTTTAGGGAGTAGGGTTTAGGGTTTGGGGTTTAACGATAGTTATAGGATTTAGTGGTTTAAGTTTTTTTTTGGGGGGGGGGGTCCTCGAGTTGGGCTGTATAAGTACTGCACCTCAGGATTGTAAGGGGGTTCGACAAGTCTACGAGGTATCTCCCAAGCCCCCAACAGATCGCTGACATGGGTGTTGAGGTAATGTATGTCGACACCGTAAGCTTTCTAAGTCGTACACAGGGGGTCCATCTGTAATACCATCATGGAAGTAGGTACCCCCAATGGCCGATTTAGTATGGTTTTTGGGTGCATATTTCCAGAACAGTACTACAGATGGACCCTCTGCGATACATGGTGGTGAGATCCAAAGAGGTTCCACAGTCACTAGAGCAACCCGTGTACCCTTTCTGTTGGGGCGTCCCTGGTCTTCTGCGACTTCAGGATCAAACCCGCCGCGCTTTGTCCCGAAACTGCCCAAACCCTTTAAACCCTGAAGGCCCATACGCCCAAGTCCGATAGAGTCACTCCAAACCCTCCACCCTAAACTCCAAACCCTAAACCCCAAACCCCAAACCCTACACCCTGCACCCTGCACCCTATGCCCTTGACTTCCTGCCAAGGCCAAGGTGCCAGACTGGGTCACGAAGCCCGAGGAGTACAAGGCTCCCCAGGGTGGGGGTTGGGGTGGAGCGGGGTTTAGGGCGTTTTTGGGTTTTGGGGTTTTTGATTTGGGGTTTGGGGTCTATGGGTGCAGCCCAGAAGTACGAGTAGGTTTTGGGAGGTGAGACTGAAAGGATTCCCCCGAAACCTTCAGCCGTAAGATGTGGCAGCTCCGGCAACTCCCCAGCCATCACAGGACGTCTGGTGCACCTTGAACCCGAATCCCAGAGCCCTTGATGCCCTACACCCTATAGGGTTTAAGGTTTAGGGCCTAAACCCTGAGTTCTAAAGGGTTTAGGGTCAGGGCTTAGGGAACCCCAAAAACCCTAAGGCGATCATGGACACCACCACCAACGCCGTTTGTCTGCTGACTGGTGGCTTCCTGTTAGTCGCCATGGACCAGATCCCACGAATCGTGAGGCCGGAACCTCAAGTTTTTGTGGGGGGTTTAGTTAGGGTTTACGGTTCAGGTGTTTGTGAGGGGGGGGGGGGGGGGCAGGTTACCACCTGGTAGTTCGCAGGGCTTGGGGTTGGGTTGGGTTTTAGGGGTGGAGCCTGCGCACCCAAACCCTCCTGCCTACATCACAAGCTCTACACGCCTCAACCCTAAACCCTAACCCCCCCGCCCCCTGGCAAATTTTCTTCGTTGAGGTGTCGTACGAGTTGAGGATACCCTGTAAACCCTAATAAACAGCATCCCTGTGCTCAGGAAAGAGCAGTCTGGCATCCTACCATCGCACCTCACGCACCTCGGGGCTGCGTTAAGGGGGCGCAGCTGTCACGAAGGGTTTGAGGGGTTAGGGCTTGGAGGGGCTCTGGTACGATTCTTGGCATTCTGGTTCTTGGCTTCGCTTTTACAGGGGGGGGGGGGGGGCATCAGGATGCTTTGCCCCATAAGGGGCTGTGCGAAAATACCGGACCCCCAAAATAGACTCCGGAAAAGTAGGATTCCCCTCTCCTAAGGACCCCAATAAGGTACCCCCACCCTAATTTCGGAACCCCCCCCTAAAAGCCTAAGGTTGGTCTACCTGACGCTCCTCTTTGGCTCCATGTGCGCCGCCGCGGCGATGGCGGGCCGGCTCTCAGAATGAGCGCTCTGAGTCTCGGAGGCGCTGCAAGAGCGGGCTTGTGCCTGTTTGATTTTTTTGGTGTGGGAGGAGGTGTTGTTTTGAGCTTGGGGTTTTTGAGTTTTAGGCTTCGATGGTTTCGGGATTGGGTTTAGGAATTCAGGGTTTCGGCTTTTCGTGCATTAACTCATTGAAGGCCAAGCCCCCAGCCGCAAGCCTCGGGTAGGTAGAAGCATGGTGGCTTCGGTTGGCTGTGCAGTGCCCTTTTGTGGCGCAGGCTTTCTCTCGCTCTGCTTGTCTCCGCCTCCGTCTCAGAGTCTCTTCCTGTTTCTCCCTCCCTTTCTCTCTGTCTGTTTGTCTCTCTCTCTCTCTCTCTCTCTGTCGCTCGCTCGCTATCCCCATTTCTCTCCCTCTCACTTTGTCTGTCTGTCTGTCAGTCAGCCAATCTGTCAGTCTGTCTCCCTCTCTCTCTCTATCTCTCTGTCTCTCTCTGTCTCTGTTTCTGTGTCTCTCTATCTGTCTCTTTCTCTCTCTCCCTCCCTCCCTCCCTCCCTCCCTCCCTCCCTCTCCCCTCCCTCCCACGCGCATGATCATGCCGCCTATGTCAGTGTATGGCTATCGAGGCCTATCCGTGCGTGTTGGAGGGTGCTTGTAGGATTGTTCTGGCCTGTGCTGCTAACTGACCGCCAAGTCCCTCTGAGTTTTTTTTTGGTGCCGACTCCTAACCAGAAGATATGTAATGTTTGCTCGGCTTTCTTCTGGTTGGCTCTTAGGACTTTAACTTTTTGGTTTTCGTGGGAACTACAATAAGGGAGTCTAAAAGTTAAACTTCTAGGAGGGGTTCAGAAGTCAGCCAAGATATCATTGTCCACCGATCCAACCCTCAGCCCAAACCGCCAGATGTATGCATCCTAAGCCCCCCCCAAACTTGACTTGATCTCTAAACCGCAAGACAGGTTCACCGTAAGCCCTGAACCCCAAACCGTTTCAGGATCTACGGTTGAGACAGTTCAGCCGCTATGCCCTTAAACTTCAACTCCACCGGAACCTCCGAGTTGGGTTTGCTGCGCTTCTCGATGGCCCGAAGTCTTGGGACCCTTGCCTTCAACCCTGGACCCGAAAGTCCTGCACCCCCCACGAGGCGCTTCAGCATGTGCAGCTGCAGTGAGCAGAATGTACAGGCACGCAGATGTGCTATGCAGGCAGTACATCCACGACCGCCGGCCGACAAAAGAGAGCCTTTTGCAGATTGAAAGTCGACGATTCGTGGGATGAGATTTGAGGCGGCCTCTTCATCTTAATTGCATGATGATGGTTTAGGGTTTAGGGTTTAGGGTTTAGGGTTTAGGGTTTAGGGTTTAGGGTTTAGGGTTTGGGGTATACTCTGTATGGAATGTCTTCAATCGGCTTTTCTTCAAGTAGAGGCACACTGGGGCTCGACTTGGGAATAGGGATACTGAAAGACGGATGCCAGGGTTCTCCCCCCCCTCCCCCCCCCCCCCACCGCACAACCAAAAACCTCAAGCATTTCGAGGGCCCAGCCCTGCTTCGCGTCGTCTTGCGGTGCTTCCTGCCCCTTCTGCCACTAGAAATCCCCGGCGTCAAGGAAGAATCATAACACTCGTGTCGACCAGACCAGGCATCGTCTTGGGCTTTATCTTGTTAGACCCCAACTACCTAAGCACCCACAGGCAAGTGCCTTGAAGCCCTAAACTACTTGAGACTCCCGCCCGCAGCCGAGCCAATTTGCATGAAAAAGATCACGATAGCCAGCCACATCTTCACCTTCACGCATCCAGGGGCCCAGGTCCCCTCAAGCCTCAGACATGAACACATTCTTCTGAGTCGTAGCTGTAGCAACACCCTTCGAGCCCTCAGACCCAAGAAGCTGAATCTTAATTAAGCCTTGACGGGAAGACGGCCCTCAAGGGCGACGACCTTCATTCGAAGCCTGGATGAACCCTTGCCAGCCCGTAGCACCCAAAACGCACAAGATTTTTTCCTGACACCATGGCCGCGGATGCGGAAGATCTCGCGCCCACCATGGCCGGGAGGGGGGTGGGCTCGCGGGCCTCTAGCGGTTTGGCTTGGGCCATGGGCTTGGGCCTATAGTAAGGCACTTGGGATATCACCTCTTTTCTTCGCGAGGGTTTAAGAGAATTTTATTGAGGTTCAAGAGGATCCTGCTTCCAGATTGGGGTTTCAGAGGTTCCTGCTTCCCTACTAAGGTTTGAGAGGATCCTGTGTTGCAGCGGGTGTGAAGGGCCAAGCTAAGGCTATCTCGGCGAGTCGTGGGGCCCCCCGAATCTCCCCCCACTTGAAGACCCTAATTAATGCCCCTCATGGGGTTTCAGGGGCCGCGCTGGGGCTAAGTAACTCTCCCCTTAGAACCCTGTGTAGTATCAATATAGGCTAGCCAAAATGCAAATTCCTCAGGAAATAGGCACGTGGTATGCAGGCTCAGGACAGCAGATTCCAGGCCTGGAAATATCCACCAACGCCTAAGCCTCTGAACCCTGAGCCTCGACCCTTAGCTGTAGCCCTGAAACCCTGAACCCCGAGCCTAAACCCTGAACCCTAAACACTGAACCCGTATTCAAAGCTGCCGTCAGCCCTTCGGGGGGGAGCCCTGCAGGTCACTACGCTTCCTGACGACGGCTTCGTTCCCTTCGGTCGAAGGCCTCGGGCCCTTCAGAGGATTTAGGGTTTAGGTTTTCCCCATCTTTCGAGACATAGGGTTCCCAGTTGTTGTCAAGCTAGTTTCATCAGGCGTGATTTTAGAATCGTGACTCTTGACGGGATCCAAGGCATTCCCCCCCTAAGCGCAAGTGACAAAGCAGGTTCGGTAGAGGGTTAAGATTCAGAATGCTTAGGGCCCTACACCGTAAACCCTAAACCCTAAACCCCAAACCCGCTAGGCCCCAAACCCTAAACCCTAAACCCCAAACCCCTAAACCCTAAACCCTAAACGGCCCTAAACCCCAACTAGTCCTTAAAAAAGTTTCAGGGCCCTTAGCAGCCTCAGGGGGTGTCCCCGGGGTCGCTTGCGAAGGCGAAGGCCGGCCTGGCGCTCGCCCGGCGAAAGTGCCGGGGCGCCTGGAAAACACTGGGAGATGGGTTTGGGGGGTTCAGGGTTTAGGGTTTAGGTGGGGCCTGGGTTCTAAGGGTTTTAAAGCGTCTGGGGCTAGTTGTTGAGGAGCGGTGCAGGATTTTGAATTGCAGAATCCTGAAAGGTGGGAGAGCTCAGAAAAAACGCCAAAGTTTAGCAGCTGGCGGCTTGCAGGGCGTGCCTGGTTTCAAGAGTCCCCCTTGGCAAATTTATTTTGCTTAGATTGTTTTTGAACTTGAAAAAACCCAAGGGAAATAACATACGTGTCCACCCTGGTCAGAAGCCAAACCCAAACCTTGACCTTGGAGTTTGCCCCTAAACTCCTGAACCCAACTCCTCAAGTTCATGTTGACACCAGGGGACTGGGGCTCAGGATTTCGGAGCTTCGGATGTAGCTTCTAACTGCTGCCAGTGGGCGCCAAAGTGGCGCCGTGTGGCGAATCCCTCGGCCGATTTCGCGGAGTTCGACCGCGTCGTACGAGGACGGGGCCCTTCAGCATGTGTTTGCGGAGTTTTGGCAGGTTTGCGGGCTTTATAGCGGACCACCAACACGATCTGGATTGCACACCCGTGTGTCTGAGTCATGCTGAAGGCACGATCGCATGAGTCACATTGGAATGCTCCTGCGCATGCAGGTATGACTCTAGGCCAGAATACTGATTCTTAGTCTGCTTTTCAATATTGTCCATGTGATTACAACGATTCTTTCAAAGCTCCAGACCGAATGAACCTTCAAATTCCTCACGACTACCCGACTCAAGACTTTGAGGGCCTTGCAGCTGGCGTTCCCTTCCTGCAGGCATGCTCAACCGCATCAGCACCGAAAACGCCCGCTTCCTCCTGCCGCAGGGCTGGCGTGCTTAGGGTGCTTAGGGTGTTTAGGGTTTTCAGCGCTCCAGGGCTTGAGGGCTCCGGGGGTTTCTGAGGGCTCGGAGCAACCCTTTGCTCCATTCTTCGCCATGACTGCTTGGATTCTTTTTTTGAAGCTTGTTAGTCGTGGCATCGTTTCTTTCGTGACTACTGCTATCTTGACTACAATCAGCATTCGTATGGTTGCGTCTTACACCCCGAAGGCCCATTGGAGCAGTCATCCCAAGTGCTGAAAAGAGCCCTCAACCAACCAACCCTAAATCCCTTAAAAAGAGCCCTTAAGCTCTACAGGCCCAAAAGCCCTTGAAGCCCAAAGGGTTTCTGAAGCCCTCCAGAAACAAGAAGAAGCCAGGCTGGAACCTGCTCTCCGCGGCGCTGAGAAGGCTTCAACGTGGACAAAGCAAGTTATTCTAAGACTTGACGGGCTTCAGGGACTTGAGGGGTCTTCAGGCCTGGAAGTGTGCAGTGCTTTGGCGGATGTGGGGCTTTCGGGGTCTACGGATTCAGTGGTTTCAGAAATGAGGGGTTCATGGATTTGAGGGGTCCAAGAATTTCGGAGTTTAGGTACTTAGGGATTTAGATCTGGGGGAGGGGAGGAACTGGTTGGTCTATGGGTTAGCGGGGCTTCACGTTTCAACTGCTGTCTAGAGGTTTTCCGAGCCTTCCAAGCCTTATGAAGCATTAGCCGAGGCGGTCCATGATTTTCCGATTTTAGGGCTGAAGGTTGGAGTGTTCTAAAATTCGAGGGTTCATTTAGAGTATATGAGTTCTAGGGTTCTGGGCTACAGGATCTCGATGTTCTGATTGGTGAGTCTTGGTCAGGGATGGCAAACCTCAGCTGCTGAAACATCTCCGCTCTTGCAATATTGCAGCACTCAAGCCATAAACCCAAGACCTCTCCACGAAGATCGCTTGCTTTCTGTGATAGGCTGGCGACTGTGCCCCCTGGTGGTCGGCGCGCTGTGCGGCGCTGATGTTGAACCACTACATCCAGGCTCCAATGTTTTCAGGGCTTTGGCCGAGCATGGCCTTACTTGTTACCCCTTTCCCCCCCCCCCCCCCCCCAGTGTTTTTTTTCATTGTTTTGTTGTGTTCGGTTCCCTTGCAAACCCAAATAAGCCGAACAAACTGCACCCCAGCGCTTCAAGGCTTAGATTGGGGTGGGGATTTAGAGAATTCTAGGCCTAGGCCCCGAACCGAAAAGATGCTGGTTATGCAGATTTGGTGGAGTGCCAGTGCGGTTCGCAGGTTTTGGGCAGGGGTTTGGGTGTTGTAGGGTTTAGACAGCGGGAAGGAGCACCCTCACGTCCAGTGGAGGGAGGGCTTGAAGAGAAGGTTTAGGTTGTCTTTGGGGCTCATGCTGGAGGTGGGTTTGGTTGTTGAGAGGTTTACTAGGATCCCCCTGTGGCAGCCTGTTTCCACATGATTCAAAGGGTCGGCTGCCTTATTGAACCACTCAACCTATCGGATTCTGGCGCACTTGGCTTCACGGTTTAGGGTCCATAGGCTTGCAGTTCAGACGCCCAAGTACCCCCGCATCCCCTCTCTGACCTCAAAGATGCCTTGCCAGGTCATCCATACCAGCGCTGGGCTCGGGTGCAGCGGAAAGTCTGTGCTTTCAGTCGGAAGTGAAATCCGGGGTTACACATTTTTGTATAGGTGTACTGATAGGTCGTATAAGAACCCACGAGCCTCCGAGAAGGATTCAGTGTTGAAGGTCGGCCGCCCTAACTCCGAAAACCCTCTAACCCTCGAGCCTTTGAGCCCTACTGCCCTGAAACCCTGAAACATGCAACCCTAAACCCTCAAACCCAAAAGCCATGAGCCCTAGAAGGCCTAAAAGCCTTCAAAACCCTGAAAAAGCAGCGAAGCCCAAACAAGACGCCCTAAAAAAGCTGGCTCCAACGCACTTCCTGAGGCCGCTGCGCGCGGGGCCTGGCCATGCGCAGCAGCGACAACGTCCTCCCCGAGTGCCCTCGAAGCCTTGTAGCACGCTTGAACTCCCCTCGCAAGTACCAACACGATATGGGGGTTTGCGAAAATAAGGGACAATAGCAGACCTCCTAGACTTCCCTTTGAGAAGGACCCCAATCAGGTACCCCTAAATTCGGAAACCCCCATATGGGGTTCCGGCGTCGAGGGTAAGAGGGCTTCGTTTTGCCAGAACTTGGAGCTGCTACGGTTTTCCACTGCACGGCTTCAGCGTAGGTCATGCGACAGACATAGGATTTCGGCGGCTGGCTGGTTTTGTCGAGTTGTTGGGTTTCGGTTCGAGGATTGAATCGAAGGCGACCCAACTAACGTCTTGAGCCCCGCTTCTCCGACGCGGTCGGGCTCAGAGGCTCAGGGCCTCAGGAAGGCTTCTTTACAGGGAGGGGCCCCTTATTCTAAGTAGAGAGAAGAGCCTCAGCAACACAAGGCCCCTAATTAGAAGCCTACTCATATCTGTCTCGGGCCCTTCAATTTCTCAACACGAACCCTATCGGCCCTACCTTCTTCCCCCTGCTATAGCAGGCCCTACGCAGTTCTTGCCGCAGGTACCTGGATGCCGTGTCGCCTTTGCTTGCCAGGAGTTGCTGGGCGGTCTGAGCTCCTGTTCAGGAGTTTTATGATTAAGATGCCATAGTGGGGTCATATTCGTAAACAATCCACCGCCCTTACCATGGCAAACTTAAGTTCTCCAAGAGGACCCCACTTGGTGCTTCTAAGCCCTAAGCCTGAACGTCGTGAGCCTCAAGCACTCGACCCACGCTTCCAGTTCTTGATGTTCATGAGTACTTATTGAAAAACCTTTTTCTTTGGATATGTCTAAAAAAATAGTATCCAGTTTGAAATCATCTACCAAACCCACAGGAGCCCTCGCCTGGTGAACGCGCTGGTGGCCTGGGTTTCGTCGGCCCGGCCGAGTTTTAGGCTGTGAGGCTTAATGTGAGGCTTCATGGGAACCCTGGAGAAAGCACGCAAAAGGGATCCCCTTAATTTCCCTGTTTTTAACCCCCCTATGCATGTATGCAAACACTCGTGGATGAAGAGGTCAATCCCAGGCAGCAACGAAGCACACTTTTTCTTGTGAAATGGAAAGATTCGCTATGTGCTGAACATGTTTCGCCCCTAAACGCTGGGGCTCGTCAGCCTGAGCCCAAACACCAACAGTGCAGCCAACCTCAAATGCAAATGCGATGTAAGGCAAAGAGACTGACATACAACACTAGCGTCTAAAGAGCCTTTTTTTGCTCTTTGTACGCTCGTGTTGTATGTCAGATTCTTTGCCTTGCACGGCAGAACAATGTTTTTGCTCTTTGTACGCTAGTGTTGTACGTCAGTCTCTTTGCCTTGCCTGCATTTGCATATATATATATATGTATGCACATCATGTAGGCTCCACAAACCCGCGTCTGCCAGGCGCCTGCTGAACTGGTACGACCTGTGCTGGCCCACCGCGCGCCTGATGCTGCTGGCCGGGGGGCTATCCAATCTGCCGCGGCTTCTTGTTCTTCTTCTGTGTTCCGGTTTAAAGTTTAGGGGTTTTGGTGGTAAGTTGCAGGAGTGTTTAGGATCTTGTTAGGCCTTTGTGCGAAGCATCCTTGCTCCGTCAGATGTAGCGTGGCTGTCCTTGGGCCGGATCGACTTCGATGAGACTAGCACCAAGTGGCCCCTTTCAGCGGTTCAGGAGTTCGGTGGGCTCAGGCTGGGTTTAAGGGTCATTAGGGGTCTCTGGTTTGGGGTTAGGTTTTGGGCCTGGGCCTATTCCCTTCAATACCTACAAACCCCGAAGCCCAATCCAACAATCCCTGTGAGCCGGAATAGCACGCAAGCTCCAAGCAAAAGAACGGCCTGCCGATGAAACCCAACAAGCCTCAATGTGCTTTCAGAGGCCCTCTAAATGGTCCTAATATCCCCCCCCTTACAGCCCTAAAGCCTTGAAGCCCAAAAGCCTCTGGGATGAATTGAGCAAAGTCCCGAAGGCCGCACGGGAGCCACGCGACAAATCCGCCCTGGGGCCTGGCTTGGGGTTTTCATAGGGTTTCGATCCCCGGCCACCCCTGACCCTAAACCTCATAAGCCTAGAAGCCCTTAAAACCCTATGCCTCTACGCATGCCCTAAACCCTATAAACCCCAACCGAGGTAACAAGGCAAGGGGATCTCATTGGCCCGGCAAATTAGCTTGAAATTCAGGCCCAGACTCCCTCAGCTCCAGCCTCCTACACAAGAAAATGCTTTTGAAGCCCAAGAGCAACTTGAAAGACAAGAAACAGACAAATTTTACCAAATGTGGATTCTTTTGTGGTTGGCCAGCTACACCCTTGGTGGCGTTGGTGGCATGTTGGCTAGGACTTCCTTCAAGCAAACCTGAGATTCGAGCCCCGGCACCTTTGTCTAGCTTGATGTGCAGTTTGTAAACTGAGGGCTAAACGCATGTTTGCACATGCTGGTTTGTTTCGTTCGTAGCTCACTGCTGCGACTCGTGGTCTTCTGCAAGGATGCCCTTCTCACCGCTGCTGGCAGACACATTCCTCAAACGCCTGAACTCCGAAACCCTAAAACCCTGAAACCCTAAACCCTCAAACACTTAAACCCTTTAGGGCCCTTGCTCTAAGCAACAGCTACATGCGCAGTCCCGACTCCCAAGTAGCAGAGCTCGCAGTCGCTAGGCCTCAACAGGGTTTTATCCTTAGACCTACGACGAACCGAAGCTCTACCCCTGAGCCTTGAAAGTCCTTATTGGGGTTTTGAGATCCTTTCTTATGTATCCATATTGTAATATGCATGCTGAGCTACCTGCAAAGCCCATATGCCTTGATCCCCGATTCGCAAGTCCCAAACCCCAAGCCTTAAAAGGTACCGAACATAATCCCTCATATATAGGGCTTACAGCATTCTTTGAAGGGTCTGTACAGGGCCTATATACTCCCTCAGATTATGTATGGAGGGTAATTCTGTAAGGTACCTATTTTCCCTACAAGTAAACCCTATAAAGCCTGAGGCGCTCCCAGGCCACGCGCTCGGCCGCCTCCCTGCCGAAGTTGCCGGGAGCTTGTTCCATCGATGGGGGTTCAGGGTTTAAGGTTAAGGGTTATAAGGGTTTAGGGTATAGGGTTTAGGGTTTACGGATTTTTTAAGGCTTAGAGCTTGGGGAGGGTGTACGGTTTTTGAATGGATAGGTTTAGGGTTTGAGATTTAGGATTCCCAGTGGTACCGTTGTTCTTGACATTCTAAGGTCCAGGCGCTAAACCCAAAAAAAGAGGGCCAGCTTTTGGAAGGTTTTAGGAAAAGTCTTAGCGGGACGGACCTTAGTTATGGGCAGTTCTTGGGCCTCCAGCAGTGTACATTCTTACAATTTCAGGGTGCTTAAAAGAACCCTAAACCCCAACACCTGGTTTCGGGTTTCGGGCTTTCTGGGTGCAGGGCTGTCCCGACATCTCCCGACATTATAGTCCAGGAAGTTGGGAGCAAATGAACTTTTTGTTGTCCTAAAGGCAGAACCTTCAAATCCTGATCTACATGGCCCCAGACTCAGTGCCCACCTAAACCCTAAACCCAACCTCAACCCTAAGCCCGGAGCCCTAAACCAAGGTGAAAGGTCGGATCCTCTCGTTTTTGATTCCGCCTTTGCTACCCACGTCGGCATCTTCTCAGGCAGAGCCTGGTTTAGGGCGGGATTGGGGTTTGGGTTTAAGATTTCGTGTTTAAGGTTCAGGGCCTAGTTCAGGGTTTCAGGTCGCGCCCATATCTACCAGCAGCCATATAAGTGCCAGGAATGGCTCGGAGCTCTGGGGCTTTAGGGTTGTCGGGTAGGATGTTATAGGGTTCAGGTCTCTTGGTGTCTTGGTGCAGTTTAGAGGGCTGACGTTTGAAGAGTTTAGGGTTGGGCTCTCCAGAGTCACCGTTTGTGCGATTGCGAACTCCTCGTTGACGTGGGCCCTATTGGCCCTTGAGGGTCACAAGGCCATCTTTGTAACGGAGCCCTGAATGAAGTTTCAACGCCCATGAGGCCTCAGACCCTTGCAGCGTTTAGACAAGCTTGTAATTCCATGGAAGCGTCAAACCAGAGACCCCAAACCCATGCAGTGCCATGCAGGATGTCGGCGTGCCGGCGGCGCTTTGTGGTTGCTGGAGCCTGGAACCTCAGTCAGCGGACGGGGCGAGTGGGAGGTTGGCGACGTCTTTTGGGATTCCTCGCTTCGGCTTGAGGGTTAAGGCGCTTTCCGGGCTTTCGGCCAGGGGATGTAAAATTGGACTTTTTAGACGTACCTTCCCTGCACGGAATCCGATGCTTCGGGCGTGGGCTAAATCAGATATTCTGAATTAAAGAGTGACCCCAAGCCCTACTAATTGTAAGGGACATTGTGAACAATCTGAGCTGTAGCGTCTGATGTCGGGTCCTATACCCTAAGCCTTAGCCCTTCTCCTTCTTCCATCCTTAGGAGATGGAAGCCCAGCACTAAAGTTGTTGAGGCTTTGCGGGCTTCGGGGTCTTAGATCGAGGGTTTGGGGGGATCTCGCTTTCGGCGACCCCGAACCAGTCGGTGTGTGGGGGGCACTCCTCCGGCTCTTAAGGCGATCCAGATGGAAAGAAGGCTCCGCACTGAGGGGAGAGCTTGGGGTGTAAGGTTTTGGAGTTCAGGTCTGAAGCGAAAAGACCTAACGTTAACCCCGTGTTGGAGCTTCATGGGTACTAAGGACTGGGGCTATGAGTAGCAGTAGCCAATGCACCTCCAAGTGCAGCCCGAATCCCTCAAGCTTGCGCTGGTGGCAGTCTTGGCAAAACGAGGCTGCAGAGGTTAGGTCGTCAGGTCTCTGGGGTTTACCATTCCAGCGTTGTTAACCCACCCCCCAGGATCCCTTAAGAATCCCTTTGAAATAGAAAGGTACCCTGTTTGCTGCTAGTTGGGCAACCTAGGGCCGCCCCGGACTCTTCTTTATTTCCCACGGCCGAAGGACGTCGTCGCTGTGCTTGCGGTGCTCCCGCCTTCGTTGGGCAAAAGGGTTTTGGGTACTTAGGGTATAGGGTTAGTACTCCTACTTACAAGTAGGGTTTCAATGAAGGCAACCTTTACACCACCGTACTTCAAAGCAGGCTTTTCAGTTGGACAATCGATGCTACCGTAAAATACCCAATCTAGGCACAACACTGTTTCGGGAGCTTCCAGCATGTCGGGGGTGGTAGGCATGACAATGGCAACCGGCAAAAGTGGCAAAATGGGCTGTGGGTTCCCTCAGCCCCAAACCAGATCTAGCATGCACGGCACCAGCCGGTGAACCTCCAAGTAAGGTCTGGGGGTTTGGGCCCTAAGCCCTAGACTCCAAACCCTAAACCCTGAACCGCAAACCCGAAACCCTAAACCCCTAAACCCCAAACCCCAAACCCTAAACCCAATTCGGGTTAGGGGTTTGGGGTTTAGGGTTTAAGGTTTATGGTTTAGTGCCGGTCCACAAACCACAATTTACTAGATTTGGGGGTTGAAGCTTATATACGTAGCATTCAGGGAATTTAGGGGTTTAGGGTTAAGTTGGGGGTTTCGGGTGTAGCCCTGATGTTGTGAAAGGCGCCTTAGAAAGCCCAAGATTCCCGAACATCTCAAAGCCCTCCTTTCTATCAGTGACGAAGGGCTGCAAGGGCTTTGTCCCTCCATCCCTAAAACCCGAAACCCGAAGCCCCTGGACCCTCAGCGCCTTGCCCAGCACCTGCTGCTCTTCACGCCGGCTGCCGTTCCGGGCTCAGATCCTGATTAGTTCTTAAGAAACAGGGAACTAGGCATCGTACATGTCAACCTTTAAGGGATGACTCTCATGCATGCCTGCTTGAGCAAAGTTCGGAGCTGGGCAGAAAGTCGAAGGTCCCTCCTCTTTTTCATCTACATTTAATATTTATTGGTATTCTTCTTACCTTTTCCCCAATGCATTTCTTAGGATTTAATGTTATGCCAAGAAGAATCCCATCCTTTCCAGATTCGTTTAATTCCTGGAATTCCCTGTCATCTATTGGATCAGGAATAGCTTTCCTATCTTTTGGTTGTTTTACTTCGTTCGCTCAGTTCATGCATTAAATCACGCACTTATTTCATTCGCTTGTATTGTAATGCAGTGAACTTACTATTAAGGGAGCAATTTTAGCATTATTGCGAGCCCCCTTAAAAGCCCCAACTTCGTTCAAACATTTCATGCTGCATTTCGTGCTTCATTTTTCTGCCCCCCCCCCCCCCCCCCCCCCCCCCCCCCCCCCACGACCCCCCCCCCCCCCCCCCCCCCCCCCCCCCCCCCCCCCCCCCCCCCCCCCCCCCCCCCCCCCAATTCACGTCTCAGAAGCTTTCGAGCTCCCGTTGCAGAGAGGTTTCAAGTTGGGGGAGCGTGCGGGCCGCTTTGCAAGGGGCGACTTCCCTCAGATTCTATGAATTTCAGCTCCTACGTCCCTCGAGACAAAATTCAAAAAGCTTCAGGAGGCCGCTTAAGTCATTCAAAGGCGACATAGTGTAAACCCTGAACCCTAAACCAAGCATCCTACCTCCAGTAGAGGTCCGGTTCCTTCCAGGCTTGAGAATGCCCCTTTGGGGCTAAGGGTTAGACAGGCCGGAAAGGAGCCGGAGGGCGGTCATTTCAAGCGGTTGCCCAGGCCTTCCCTCAGCTTGCCGCCTGCGCCCTGGCGATGGCAGAGGTGGCAGGGTTTTTAGGAAGTTTGTTGGGCTTTGAGAGGGGGTTTGGGTTGCAGGGTTTTAAGTTTGAGGTTTTTGGTTTGGATATCGATACCCAAAACCCCAAACCCAAAAACCGCCGCGGATGTGGCAGGAGGCGCTCTCCGACCGCTGCGTCTGCGAAGAGAAGGCGCAGCCGCGGGGCATCACCCGCAGCTCCCGAGCCCAGACTTTGCATTTTGCTGGGTTTAATAGAGGGTTTACGGTTTACGAAGGTTGTGTTTGAGTTGGGGCTTGCACAGAGGGTTTAGGGTTGAGGGTAGGGTTCAGGGTACAAGGCTTAGCTCTGATGGCGTAAACTGAGGCCTCCTCGGGGGCTTGCTTGGACTGGTTCATATTGGGCTCCTGTTCTGAAAGGCATCTGAGGCGTGGAGCTGTTTAGGGTCGAAGCCCCCAAGGAATTCTAGGGGTAAACCCCAAAACCCGGAAGGAGAACAAAAGCAACAGAAGCCTGAACCCTAAGCCCTAAACCCAACAAAAGTAAGCCCTAAACCCTGCGAATCGATGGCTTTAGGCTTGGATCCCCGGACCCTGGCACTGTCCTTGGACCCTAACCAAGCTTTTCTAGCTGCACTTGGACTTTGGAGGGTACCTGAACCCCTCATCCCTAAACCCTCAAACGCCCTTAGCACCCTCTGAGCCAGCAAACTCCCACAACTCCGTACCTCGGAATTCGGGGGCGGAACTTGGGCAGTCTGAGGGACGTGGGTGTAGGCAAGTTTCGAGTTTAGGGTTAAGGGTTCTCTTGCCAGGCCGTCTTGAAGATTAGTTTAAGTTTCGGGTTGGGGTTGAGGGCTACTAGGCCGTTTTGAAGATTAGGTCAAGTTTCGGGTTTGCCTGGCTTCGGCACAGCGGGGTTTATACATCCCCAGGCGCCCTGCAAGGTAGCCTTTGCAACTGAATCCTTGATGGGACCGGACATGACATGGTTTGGACCAACCCTATACCCCAAGCCCTGAACCTTTGTGGGGGCTACCTGAGCCAGGTTTACCTGGCGGCCGCGGTGGTTGTTTCGGTGTCGCAGCGCCTGGAGCCTCAGTCCCGAAATGCCCCGAACTCGGGGTGTTGACGATGCTTGGGGTTTAGTTCAGTGCTTCCGGATGTTTCGAGCTTGCGTATCAGTTGTTTAGATCTCGGGTTCTGGGCAGGGATTTCGGGCTTTGGGAACCAGTGCGGGGGGGGGGGAAGCCCTGAGGTCTCACACGTTTCATGAAGATCCTTGGCAACACAGTCAGTCAGCTAACTGCCTTGGCAACCACATCCACGAATTCTCCTAACAAGCCAGCTGGAAACATGTTCTGCAAAATATGCATGCGCGCCAGCCGCGAACTCCAAATAGGCAAGGCCCGATGGCAGATCTCGTCATATAGGTATATATAGATATATATGTATGTCAGAACCGTGGCCATCCTCTGCAAAGAGACACAGGGTGAGCATGTCGACAAGGAAGCCGCAAGGAAAGGTTTGCTCATAGGAGATAGCAGCATTTGGCTAAGAACACCCGATATACTGAGCAATCCGATCGATCCTAATCAGTCTTAGACTTAAAAATCTTCGAACCCCATCTGCTGCGGCACGCAGGTTTGCAAAAGTCCCTGGCTGGGCCTGGCACTCAAAGGGCCCAGGCTAGTGTTGAGGTTTCAACCGGGCGTGGAGATAGGTTCCTAGTAACCGGAGTTTAAAAGTACCCTCAGTCGGGTTATGGCATGGGTAGGGTTATAGGGTGATCTGACTTTACAACGTGCTCGCAAGTGCAATGAACCTCCCATGGACCAACAAGGGCTTCGGGTTTAGGAGTTTTAGGGCTGTAGCACTTTACCCTTTACTGCCCTTTACTCCTCTCAAGTCATCGCAACCCCTTGGCTGCACCCCCCCCCTCCCAGCGCGACATTCGTTCGCAGACCGTGGAGGCCTCTTCTCCGGGCTTTGGATGAAGACATGCCGCCCACGCAGCTGGCACTGACCAACCTGCGCCAGGTTCCGAAGTGAGATTCGGGACTCAGATTTACTGGGGGCTTTGGGTGTGTCTTTTGGTTTTAGGGGGTGCATCGTTTGTGGCTAGTATGGCGCTGGAGGGGCTACAGACGGCTGAGGCATCCGCAGGAAGTTGTCTTGCTTTCGTTTCGTAGTTTAGGTAGTGTGTGGGCGGCGGGTGGTGGGGTGGTGGGGTCAGGATCTAGTAGATTAGGTAGTAAATTTAACATCACTAAAAGCAACAGGAGCCCTCAACCCTCAATTCCAGCCGAAGTCCCTACTATCCTTCGTGGCCGTTGCCCCGATCCCCTCAGCACTCCACCTGACACGAACTCCATAAAACCCCCGTGTCGCCGCACTTTGCCGTCTTTTTGCCAGGACTTGTCCTGTGTGCTGCGCCTTGAGAATATGCTCGTCAGGGCAGCGGACGCAGCGCGCAGGCTTCGTATTCCCCCAAGCCCTATAAGCCCTAAGCTGGCAGCACGAAGGCAACATGAAAGCTGGGAGTAGTGCCTCGTTTGATTCCCGAGCCCTCTGCACCTCCAATCCCATTCTCTGAGCTCTAAGTCCCATGCAAAACAAAGATATCTGACAGAGCACTAAGGCTTATTGGTTTTGAAACTACCGGCCACCGAATGAAGTCCACAGACTACGGTAGTAGGACGTTAGGCCGGACCATGAACCGTGTGCTCACCTTTGGTTCCTTTTCTGCTGCAGAGTTTAGGCTTTCGGGTCCAGGGCTTGGGGTTTAGGACCATCCTGGCCGAAAACCGGCCTACTTACCAAGTCTTTCGCGCGTCGTTTTCGGAAGACGTAGTCTTGCCGCTGCCGACGCTGATCCTGCCAAGGGCATTGGCTAGTCTGTCGAATGAAGGAAGGGCTTCCGGACGATTCTTACGAAGTTCTTGGGGCTTGACATGGGCTTGACGAAGCTCCTGAAGCCTTCGAATCCTGAACCCTCAACCCTTTCAAACCCGAAACACTAGCCCTAAACCCTTTCAAACCCGGAACACAAATCCCTAAGCCCTAAACCCTGGCCCTAACTATAATAAAGCCCACCAAGCCAGGAACTCCAACCTCTCCTTCTTCGTGGACTCCCGGGCCCGGCCCTCACGCGTGGAATTTGTTCAGTGGCCGATGGTTTTTTGGGTGTTTTGTGGGTGGAGTTCTTAATGTGCAACTTTCTCAGAGGGAAGCTCTGGGTTGGGGGTTTCAGGGCTTTGGGGGTTGGAGGGTGTTTGGTCGGTTTGGGGTTTGACCGTTTGGCGCTTAGGGGCCTGGGTTTTCAGGCAGCCGCTTTGGGTTTTGCGGCTGAGGGTCTCCTGGTTCAGGGCTCAAGCTCAACGAATCTCCGGAGCCCCAGGTTCTTGCAGCTTCGGAGCACGCCCGTCGCGCGCAGGCCGGACATTCTGGGGCCATCGAAGGTGGAGTAGGGTGAAGGGCTTGTCGCTTGATGCTGTTGGGTCTGGACAGTCCGTTGCTCAAGGACATGATTTGGATTCAGGGGCTTTGGGTGTATGGTCTGTTCAAAATAGAGTGCCTATAGTTATATCCTGGCTCATATCGTACATTGCCCTTCTAACCTAACTTCGACCCCAGCACAACCACGTAAAACTGGGTGGGGGGCTTCAGGGTTTGAATTGAAACCGCATGGGCTTCATGATCACAGGAATTGGGATGGGGCCATTCTCAGAACAGGGACCCCCAAAAGGCACCGTAAAAAACAGACAGTAAAACCATAATTACCACCTCCTGACCCCCCTAAACCCCAAGCATCCCTAAACCTTGTAAACCCAAACCCTAAATTCTGAACACTACAAGACACTCCACCCTTAAAAAAACCCTAACGTCTCCTTCAATAAGAGAGCTGACCCCATCCGTGCAGGAGCAAAGCCGCCAACTCATGGCCTGATCCGTGTTTCGTGGTCTCAGGCAGCAGCTTCTTGGGTTGTTTTTGCTGGTTTTAAGGGGTTTGTGTGGTTTTTGTTCAGGGGCTCCCGGTGGCTGATGGAGCTTCGAGCGCAGGGGGGGGGGGTTTATTGGGTCTTGGGGTTTGGGGAGTTGAGGGTACAAGCTGTTAGTGCCACAGTTTTGGTCATAGAGCATAATAAGCGGGAGGCGGGGGGGGGGGGTGGGGTCGTGGTCACCTCTCCGTAGGGAACAGCAAAGCTAGGGGAACATCGGAGCTAGTAGGCAGCAACAGAACTTGACTCAGCCTACACTGTGAAACCCCCAACTCTCCACCCTAAGTCTAAACCCTTTCCCTCACCCATTTGAGCCCCTGACTAAATCGCCTTACTAGGGGGAGGACACGGAAGGACGCGTGATTGCCTATAGGAAGCCTAACCATGTCCTTGGAAGTATGTTGGGAATGTAGTCTCGGGGCTGATACGGTTCTGATTGCCCCTTTGCCCTGAAGTTGCCCACCAGGTGTTGGCTCATGAGAGATGCGCAGCCTGCCTCTGCTCCCGGAAAGAAGGTCTCGGGGCTTAAGCTCAATACAGCTAAAGGCGACATTGGCCACTTGCTTGGATTCAAGATTAATCTGGGTGTTAGGTATCAGGGTCCAAGTCAGGCACCCAGACCCCAGACCCCACACTGGCGTGCAGGATTAAGTGGTTAAGTCTATGCAGAAGCCGTAAAATGTCGTAAAAGTCTCTGCGTAGGGTTATCCATGGGTCGTGCTGATTGCCAGCCGACGTGGTTCAGGGTCTGGGCCGCAACCAATTCATTTGCCGTGTTCCGGAGAGCACATCAACCAAACGGTTTCGGCAGACAGGGCACGTGGGCAGAGGCTGTGATGCAGATCGCAGCTGCAGGGACGGCATGGCCCTGGCCGCACGAGAGAGAGAGTTTGCCCGCGCCCCTTTCCGAGCGACGGCGAAAGCTGCTGCACCTTTAGAAGCAACCCCCCCCCCCCAAACATGCCTAGATTTATCTGTGCAGAGCAGCTTCGTCAGCGGCTTCGGTGCTGGAGGACCATGCAGGTTTCGGGTTGCTCTATCAGACTCTATCAGGGACAGGAAGCTAGACTTGAAGTCCTCAACTCCCAATGCCTTCAACCCTCAACCCAAATTTGAAAGTCTCACTATGCTGTCGCTAAGTTTTTAAGCCTTATACTTATATCCTAAACCTTACATACCCTTGGCTTGTTGGGTGCCTAACATGTAGGGCCGCCCGTATTGCAAAAGGGGCCCAAATTTACATTTCCAGCCAGGGTTGGGGTCCCCGTGCTGGGGATAGAAGTAAGACGGACCAGCGCAGCGTCCTCCCGCGCAGTTTCATCACCGGCCCTGTGCGGAGAGTCTGCCCAGAACCCAAAACCCCACTAGCCCTGAAGCCTAGACCCTGAACCCGAAACCCTAAAGAACCCGCTCTGAGTTTGTTAATCGGTAAACCTGCCAACGACAAGTAAGGGATCTGCTGCGTTCTAGAGGCAGCGACCCACTTCGTTTTGTGCACTTGCCCCCCAACTTCGCCACAAAACTGCTCATAACGGGGCTTTTGGGTGGAGGGCTACGCACAGGGTCACGTGTCTTCCCTTGCGGGGGTGATGGCGGCTGGGACTTCAGAGGTACCCTAAACACTACACGCAATAGCATGCCGCCGCCACCCGAATTTAAGTGCCAGCGTGCCGGCCAGACTGCCTCCAGGCGAGCAAGCAGACTCCGAGCCAGCTTGTTGCGAAAACGGCTGCGAGGGGCTTATAGGGCTTAGGGTTCAGGTTTTGGGGTTGGAGGGCGGGGGAAGGGGTAGAGAACAACAAGGGGTTGTGAACATATATGCCTGGAACATACCCTCAGAAGCTGCATCAAAAGCGTATTATCATTAACAGTACAATATAATCACAAGTTCTTTGTATTTATATTGTACTTGTGCTGCATGGTCCTGAGATGCAACAAAGAAAACTTTAAAAACACCGACTTACAACTCGCCCCCAACCACACTGGAGGCAGCTTTCCAACAGCACGCAACCACAACGCTGTCACACGCACCAGAAGCGCACCGTAAGCTCGCCCCATAAACACCTTGAAACACATGCCTCGAAAACTGAGGGCCCCGAGCCCCCCCCCCCCCCCCCCCAGACCCCGCAGCCCTGAGCCCTGACTGACGCTCTGGACTGGAACCCCAAACCAGGACCCTGAAACGAACCCGGGTTAGCCCCTGGCCCCCTTCCAGGCCCCTCGGAGGCTTATCAGCCTAGAGGAACTGATATGCTGCCCACAATGGTGATCTTAAGTTTCTGCTTGAAAGCACCATGAAATTGTAACGAAACGATATTTTGAAAATTCAAAAGTTGTGTGTGCTCGAAGTCTGCTTCGGACCTTTGGCCGCCAGTGCCATGAGTCTCAAAGAGGCCAAGGTCCGGTTTTGTCCTCATGGGGACGTCCGGCCATGAATGGTTCTTTGAACATCCAGCGGTGCCTTCTCACCCCCCAGAGACCCAAAATCATGAACCCTGAACCTCGGGCTGGGGCTTGGAGCATGCCCTGAACACGGAAGAGCTCTATCCACTCTTAGTTTAGGGTTTGGGGTTTCGGGGTTTCAGGGCTTAGGGAGGTTTGGGGTGCACATGTCAGTAGGAACGGCAAAAAGGGGGCCAGAATTTAGAAAAGTGACCATTGCAGACCCAGAAGGGCCACCCTGAAGCATGGAAAGGGTTGGCGAAGCACAACTGAGGGCTTCTGCCCTTTGTGTGCAGCGAACAAGCCACAGAAACGAGCTTCGACCTGCCTCCCTGCAAGAACGTTCGCTCCAGATGGTACCTCTGTTGGTCAAAAGCCATCGCACGTTTGCATGCGGAGATTTCAAAAAGTGAGGCCCGCGCGCATGTTCTACTGCTACTGTCAGCAGGCGGTTTAGCCTTTGGCCGAAAAACGCTGTCAAACCAGCATGTGTAGGAGCGTCGGAATATAGTGACGTAGAAGAAAGGGCTCCACCTTCACCACCCTCGAATGCTTGAGCTGCTGCTTTGGCTCTCTGGTCGGATCAAGTCCACCCCTAAACCCTAAGCCCCGACAAACCACACCAACCCAAAAAACCCTAAAGCCCCAACCAACTGCGACGCCCCCAAACAACAACCCCCAGAAAACCAACAGAATGCTCGCTCCTACGCGCGCCATGGCGTTAAGGGGCCTGCGGCCGCAGAAGCACCTGGCAGAGGCTTTTGGATGTAGGGTTTGCACGAGGTTTAGGGTTTGGGGCAAATACATTTAACCCCTAAAGCCCTCCACCCTAGACCCCCCCCCAAACCCCCCCCCCAAACCTCGAAAGCTCCTGGAGCGCAGGTCTGCTCCCTTCGCTGGGCGGGGCGCGCTGTGCAGCTCGGTCAGATCCTGGAGGGTGCAATCAGTGTAATCGCAACCCCAAAGCCTCCTCTCGAGGGTTTAGGGGTCTAATTGAGTACAATCCATCAGGATCTCCAAATGCGCAACTCCGCGAGGTCGTCCGCAGAGCATCCTTTTTAAGGTCCCTGAGCGGGTTTCTGCAAAAGCAGAGATGTTAGCGCGGCGAATGGCCGTTACGTAGTGCTTGGACGACTACGTGGTCAGCTCTCTGAAGTTTGGTTCCTCGTTTTTTTGGTCCCTGTGATAGTACGCCCTTGTATCTAGGGCACCCAACAAATGACCCCGATTGAGCTCACTGAGCTTTGGGTTAGGCCATCAGGCCCTAAGCTCTAGATTGAGCATTACAGTTCCACCATGTTCCGCACTTCCTTTTCTGTCGTTGCTTAGGTTGTTCCAGTTTCGGGTTGGTTGACTTACTTGAAGCAGATTAGATTTCAGTGTGCTTGACGGTCTTAGGGTTATTGGGGTCTGGGGTGTGCTTCTTTGCGACAGTCTTCCTTGGTTTGCAGGGTTGGCGTGGTGCCGTTTAGGGCTTAAGGCGGGGTCCTGTGAGGGTTTAGGGTCTTCATGGTCTTTACCCAGTGCAACTGCCTAAGGGCGCAGCTAGAACCTCGAATCAGATGTCTCTTCATGTTTCCATCCAGCGCTTCCTCGCTGGTGGGAAATCTTTTTTCAGACCCTGCATGAAGCAACGTGCCCCACACTCCCCACTCCGTCCACCCCACGCCCCGAAAGCCCGGGGCGAGCGCCCGACAATCGGAGCCCCAGAAGCCGCCAGGTCTTCGTCCTCCTCGGCGTCGGCGCCCTCGTCAGAAACCCCCGGGGTTAAGGCCCAGAGCCCTGAAACCTCAAGATCGTGAAGTTGAAAGCTAAAGCGGCTGAGAGGCATACCGGGCTTGCTACAGCTGGAGGGTAGTCACCAATCTGAAGCCACTGAAGACCTCACACCCGAAACTCCAGAACCAAGGCCCCTCAACCTTAAGCTGTGCAGTAAACTCAACCAGCGTCCCTAAACCCCAATTAAGCCCTAATTAGGTGCAAACCCTCAAGCCGAAGTCGATGTCGTCGCACAGGATGCTGAGCTCGTCTTCGGGAACCTGTCAAAGACAATCCATCGCGGGCCAACCTCTCAGCGTCTGTGGACCTGTTCCTTGCTTTCTTGCGCTTTCCCCTGCCGAGTCGGGATTCTCAACTTGATCCCCCCTCGTATACCGAGTATCTTTCTCTGAAGTGAGCTCCTTGGCCGGAGTTCTATGTGGGTAGGCGACGATATAGGGCAAAGTCAACATCAGGGATTGGGCTTTCAGGGTTTATGGGGCATGGGAGCTGCGAGATCTTAAATCTTGGCCTGCAAGAGGTGAGCGCTTCTGCAAGCCCAGGCTCTGTATTCCGAATTCCCACATCTAAATCCGGCCACACTTGTGATGCTCCGCCTAACCTGTCCATCCGAAACACTTGAAAAGCCAACGCTGCAAAGGTTCAAGTTCGATCGGATGTTCGACAGCGACGACTTGGACCCTCAGTCGTTGATGGAGCCTGCGCCCCCAGCATGGGTAATGCAGGAACCTGAAGACCTTCTAGAACGGTACCTAAAGCCTTATAAACCCTAAACCCCACAGTGCCCATTCCAAAAAGGGGGCCTTCCTGGGGTTCAACGGCAGGGCTTAAGAGGCCCTGGAGTTTCTTCAGAGGACCCAAACCCAGATCGCAGCATGTCGAAGGGGAGGAGTCCCACGCTTGCACTAGAGGCTGGACCAGATCGCCCTAGTGAGCATGAAGACGCAGGCGCTGGCGGCGCTGGGTTCTTGCTTTATGTCCGGATGGTCCTTCGGCCGAGTTTAGAGCTGACGAGAGAGGCTTTAGGATTTTTGCTGGGGGGAGCCAGTAGAAAAGTCAACCAGGGGTCATGAGCTCTGAGAGGCCGGAAAGATGAAACAGCACGCCTCCACCCTAAACCCTAAAGCCTATATCCCAATCCACGGAAGTATTCGGGCCGACCGCGGGAGCAATCGCTTGTAGGACGCGCCCCGGAGCATCATGGAGAAGATTGTGAGGCCCACGCCTGAAAAATTTGCATACATATATATATATATATATATTTATTTATTTATTTTTATTTATTTGTTTATTTAAATACATACACGTAGATTTATATTTTATTTTTCTATTTGTTTACGTACCAAGTCTATGATGTATCTAAACCCCTCAAACCCCACATACACGCCCATTGAAGTCTTAGGGTCGTAGAAGCTTTTGGGGCTTGATAGAGTGTGTCTCAATGAATATTTGAAATTCCTTTTTTGATTTAACGTTCATTCCTGAATCAAGGGGGAATTGGACGCTGCGTTCTGGAATTGAATTTCGGGGTATGCCCTTTCAACGTGAGAGTAGCACGGCTCGACCTGTGGGACTCAGCGTGTGCAGGGTTTAGGTTTTAAAGCCTAGGGAGGGCGATGAGCTCAAGCTTGACTAACTCCACGGCCAGCAGTGTCCATTGTCCCTATCAGCATCAGGACTGTTGAGCTGGCCGAACACCTCCGTAGAAGCAACTCCTACCTCTGGTAGACCCCCAAGCCCTGAACTGGTAGCCCAATTCCTAAACCCAGGTTGCTCCGAGACTTCGGCCAAAAGCAGGTGGGCTTAGGGCTTAGAGGGCTTAGAGGGCTTGTAGGTGTATATGGCTTCAGGGGTTTAGGCCTGCCGGCTGCCAGCTTGGCTTGGCCTCACAGGTTAGAAGTACCGGAATTCTGGGTTCCGGTCTAGGCAGCTTTCATTGGATGGCAGCTGTAGCAGTCGAAAGGACGAAACCGCCGATGATGCTACAGTGCAAAGACGGCCTAAGCCCTAAGCCCTAAGCCTCAAATCCTCAACCCTGAGCTCAGCACGACGCACTACGAATCGCAGTTCTAAGTTTCGGCCGAGAACTGACCTCGTACGCTTAGAGAGCTCATGATCCCCACTATATAGATAGTATATATATATATGTATACATATAAACATACATACATATATATATATATATATACATACATATGTCTGCATATATTTTACATATACGTCGAGCCTGGGCGATGAGTAGAAGCAGCCGCGCAGGACCTGCAGCGGTACGGCCGCTACCTGCTGAAGCGACAGCTGCGGCCCAAGTTCCCCCAAGAGCGTATCCCGACCCTATCCGTGTTAGGAATTCAGACGCTTGGAAACTTCTAAACCTTAAACCTCTGTAGGTGTTGGGCCCTCGTGGCCTGAAGCCGACCCTCAAACCCCATAGCTCTTTGAGCTCCTACCAGTACATGCCATGTAAGCCTAGAGACACCTAAAAATCCGAGCTGGGCATCAAAGGCGATCGCGGACCTCCACGGAGATACCAGCAGCGCCTGGTCTCAGACAGTAGTTTGGGGGTTTCTGGTTTGGCGTTTAACGGGGCTGAGGGCAGGGCTTGGGGGAGCATAGGGCTGAGGATGTAGAGGTTGGCTTGAAGCTCTAGGTAAAGTGATGCGAGATGCCAGGTTTCCTGACGCCGGAAACCCTAAAAATCCCTAGGGCCCCCACAGAGCCCCAAATCCAAAAAGCTCTACACCTAAGACCCTAAATTGGGCCCTCGACCCTCAACTTGCCAAACCCTCCTGCCTGAACTCCCCGAGCCATGCGAAATGACCAGCCCTGGAGCCGTTAGTGGGGGGTTGAGGGTTCAGGGGTTAGGGCTGAGGGGTTAGGGTTACTAAGCTCACATCATGGGCCCTGCTTGGGCCTCGTTTAGGCCCCCCTCTAGGCTCAGTATTGAAGGAAAAGTCTCAACAAGAAGCCCACGATGAACGCCAGCAGCCGTCACAAAGCCCCGAAGCCCAAACCCCCTAAACCTCAAACCTGAAACCAAACCCCCGTCTGCCACGCAGGTCCTCCCGTCTGCCTTCTTGCCAGAGGGCGAGGGCGAAGGTGAAGGCCCCATTGCGAAGCCTGGGGCCCTGGCATTTATGACTTGATCTCCCAGTGGGCCCTTTGTCCCTTTTTGGGGGGAACCTTTGGTTCCTTCTAAAACGACCCAAAACTCAAAAGGGAGCCCTTCGTGATCCCAGATTGCTGGGGACCCGAGTTAGGACTTGGAGTGGTTGGAATTCATCCTGAGTGCGCAAGCTGCAGTTGAAGGTTTAGAGTTCAGTGTTTTTCACCTGCCTCTCCGGGAGTTCTACCTTAGGGTTCGAGGGATTTAGGGCTTGGAATGGAGGATCTTCGGGTTTAGGGCTTTAGGACTCTAGGGTTCAACCCTGAAACCTTTAAACCTGAACCAAACGGACATGTGCAGCTCGCATGGCGAGGGAAGGTGCTCCGGGTGGAGTCTGGAGTGTAGTCCTGCAACTCATGCCGCCTGAAATTCCTAAACCCTTGAAACCTTAAACCCGAAAACTCCATGTTCTTGACGCAAAGACACAAAGACCTCGCATCCCAGACTAACCCCCCAATTCCCTCAAGGCCACACACGGCAACCCTAAACCCTCCTAAGCCTCGTCAGCCCGAAGCCCCCTCAATGTGCAACCTTGAACCCTCATAAGCCTCATAAGCCCTCCCCCCCTCCCCCTATTCCTTGCACCTCCAACGCCCAAGCTCCGAAACCCTAAGAACTCAAAGTCTCTCAACCAAGGATGCGCAAGAACCCGGCCTTCAAGGCGGGCTCCTGTGGTTTAGGGCTGACAGGGATTATGATACAGGGCTTGTAGGCTACATAGGGTTTACAGGCCGATTCCACAAAATGGCGGGGCATCTAGAACACAATCAGGGTTTGTGTTGGGGTGTGGGTGGACTTTCAAGGGTTGAAGGGCTGCAGAGCTTCTTCAGATTTAGGAGTTTCGGGGATCCAGCGGTGTATTTCCGACTCCGTGACCGTATATTCCTTACAGATTGAGCTCAGGGTCTAGCCCCTTGTGGGGATTCTCCGTTGAATGGTCCACTCAATAGTTTAGGGTACCAAAAACGTGGCACAGAACTTGAGTCCACCCCGAAGCTCCCGAGGCACCCACATGAATCAGGGTGGAACCCCTAAAGCCCACAAGAACCTTTGAAGCGCTTAAACCGCGAAAAGCCTAAGCCAAGGGTTACCTCAGCTCCCCCTGAAAAACTCAGCCCGAAAGCCTTACGTAGGATTAAACCCTAAAGCCCCAGACCCTGAAATTCCTGGGACAACGGTGGCAAGGACCTCTTCGACCACGCAGGGGTGCGGAATCTGGACGACTCCACCATGCGACGGCTGGCAATTGCGCACATGCAGGCGCAGCAGTTTTAGGTTTAGGGCTTACCTGAAACTCCCAGACCCCTTATCTGCAACTCCCAGACCCCCCCTTCGTATGTTGATGTTGTCATAAGTACATTTTTCTATGTATCAGGTGTATAACCAGCAAAGCATGTCGGTAAATGGTGGTTGAGGTCGCGTTTTGGGGCTGAGGGTTGGGGCTCGGGCTGGTGGGCTCAAGAGCCCTGAAACCGGGCCCTTTAGAACTTCAACCCTACTGTAAATGGTCCCAGCATGTACACCGTACACGCGTCAACCACCGAGACCTATAGGCCTCACCGGCAAGGCGCCAGGCCCAAGCTCAACATGTCGAAGTCCTAGCGGCCCTGGGAATGTGATACGACGCAATGCCTCCTATATACCCTTTGGAAGTATGTTCTGCTTTCGCTTGTATAGAAACAGTGAACATAAGTCCATGCTTCTGGCTTCATGGGTCCAGGTAAGCCCTAGACCCTAAACCCTTAAACCCAGACTCTCAACCCCCTAAGTCTTCAATTCAGGAGCCCACCCCTGAATGCAGAGACCCTCACACGTGACCAGGGGACTAAAGGGCTGACTCTTCTACGGGATCCCAAAAAATTTGGAAAGGGGGGCGACTTAGGCATATCTAGAGGCTGTAGCAAGTACTTCTGTAGCTTGAAGAGTAGCATGAAAACATCCACCTGCTGCTCGTCAACTACTTGGGGCTTGTTGGATTTTAGGGGTTTGGGAAACCTTAACATCAGGCATTTCAGGGATTAGGGTTAATTATCGTGGTTCTAGGGGCTTTACATCCACTTCAAAAAGCCGCTTTTGCAGAGGACCGGCGGCATGTGCTCTACCAGATGTTCTGGTCACCAGAGGCTCCTTGGCGAAACGTGGGCCGCGTTTTCTTTCGCGGGTTCGAGGGGGGTTCGGGGGCGTCCTCCACGTCAAAAAGCCGTACCCCCCAAAGGAAGTGTGCGATTCGCTTTTGGGTCACATGTGGGCTTTGGGCTCCGGGCCCACCCGATCGCACATAGCTGAACCCGAACCGTATTCCTCCTCTGCGCCGTGGATCTGCCCCAAACCCCTACATCCCTGAAACTTGAGACAAGCCCCGTACAGCGCTGGAATGCAGTGCAGCCCCACGCCCTGCGCCTCTGTAAATCCCAAACTTCTCATGCTTCCAGTGCCAGTATGAAGCTATGAAGCTTAGGGGGTTTAGGGTTGGAGCCCCACATCCACAGCTTGGCGGAGGCTGCCCTCACGTACCTGGCGTCGGCACCCCAACCATGTCGGCTTCCGGGTTAGAGTTGGGGGGGGGAGGGGGCTTTTTAGAGGCTTTGCAGGGTTGTTTTCCTGAGTTCTTAAGGGCTGCTTGGGGGCTCCAGAGGGCTCAGGCCACTCCACGCGTTGCTCAGGGATTCAGGGTTTGTCAGGGTTCCTGAGGGCTTTGGAGTCTCTCGACAAAGAATGCTACAGCCAGGGATTGGCTTCGCACTGGCCGTGAACCGAAGTTTGCTGGTCTTGTCCTTTAGGGCCTTTTTGTGGTTCGCATCCGAGGCATCGCTACCCAGCCACCTGGGCCACCAACTTCCGCATCCTCTACGAGCTCAAGAGGACTCCTGGGCACCCGGAACCTTAAACCTGTGGATGCCCTAAACCCCCAAACCCCCGGACCCCCGAACCCCCGAACCCCGAACCCCCGAACCCCCAAACCCTAAGCCCTGAGCCCTAAAATGCCAAAAAACCGCACGTTTTTCGCCTTGGCGGGAGGCGAGCTCCCGACTTCCAGCCGATAAGGGCGCGCGCACCGGAGGGTGTTCAGGTTTAGGGGTTGTGAGGGCTCGGGAACTATGGGAATGTTTGGGGTGTTGGATTCTTTGGGTTTGGGGGTTTCGGGTTTAGGGTTTTGGGGTCTTAGGGGCGTTGCAAGATGTTCACGTGAGAGGGATGTCCAATGAAGGGAGCTTCGGCTGTCGGTTGCCCTTTTTAGGGAACGTAGCCAACCGGTTCCTTGGGAAGTGGCTTGAGGACTGACTTGGGCTGCTCAGGGTCTAGTGCAGTCTCCAGCCCATGCTTAGCAGCTACAAGCTGCACATTAGACGAGTCCTTACCTTGAGCATCTGGGGTTTAGGTTCTTCGGTGTCAGGATTTCTGCTTGCGGGGGTACTCCCCCCGACCCTGCACCCTGAAATCCAAGCCCAAGCCCCTACCCCAAACCCTAAACCCTAAACCCGCCAGGTCATGGACTACGGTGCCGGGCCCACACCGAGCTTGGCAGCGGCCCAGGGCCCGGACACAGGTGCTGAATTGGTGTGTGTAGGGCTTGAGTAGGGTTCTGAGTCCTTAACAGGCGCTAAAGCCCCTGAAGCCTACGTAACTTCCTGCAACCCTATACTTCTTGCCAGCCCGAAGGTCTTAAACCCTGCATTCAAGACCCCAAAACATCCCAACACCAACTTGTCCAACTTGCTGGGGTGAAACTTTTTCGGGATTAAAGTCTTAAAGGCTTGAAGGTTACCTGCTCGACCTACACAGCCAACGGCTACAAGGAGGTCAAAACCTCACATCTTCAAACCCTGAGCCCCTAAAAGGTTCCTGGCATACAAGGGACATGCATTTGGGAACTCTCCTAGCGGGCATTGAGTGTTGGATGTTTGAGGCCGGGGTGGTTGCAAAGGTCCGGCACCAGATGGTCCAACTGCGGCACTGCGGGCCTAACCCCTGTAAACCCTGTAAACCCTATAAACCCTGCAAACCCTATAAACCGCAAGGAGCCGGGGGATTGTTCCGATGACAGCCACACCACCTCTGGCCCAGGGGGCAAGTCTTTTTGCTCCCCACAACGGTTTTCCTGTCTGAGTTAGGCAAACCGGGAAGAGCAGGCGCCTTGTAAATTCTAACCCCTCGAAAAAGTCTTTCAAGCCCCCTGGTGCCTCGGCTAAGAACCGTTTGGCAAGAAAAACGAAAGAAGGTCCAGGAGATCTGGCCAGGGGTCATGGAGTACGCCACGGCAATCGAGCCGGGCACTCGGCCCCTGATAAAGTGGCTTCTTAGAGGCTGGAGTGAAAGGCAGCACCCCCGAAGCAAAAGTCTCATTCGGTTGCTGGGTTCAGGGTTTTCGGGGCGCGGGGGGGGGGGGGGGACCCTTAAACAGGGTTGGGCTTCGCTTCGTCCAGGAAGTCTTGGAGGTAAAAGGCCTGGGTCTTCAGGCTTAGGGTTTAGTGGTTTAGGGTTTGAAGGGCTTGAAGGGTTTGAAGGGTTTGAGTGTTTGAAGTTTAGGAATGGAAGGGTTTAGTGTTTGAAGGGTTCAGAAATTTTCGCCGAAGATATGATTGATAGTGTTTAGGATTTAGCTTTTTAGGGTTTAGAGTTTGCAGTGGAAATTTTTACGGTTTTAAGAATCATAATATGGGGACCACCTGGGCGGTCCTGCCTGGGAGACATGTGCTGGGAGGAGCCTATCAGGTTCTGGAAGCTCAGCAATCAGAAATTTTGCAGCGCGCAGTGGTGGGGGTCTAGTAGTGGGGGGTCGGAGGTCCCCCTCCCCCCCCCCCCCCCCCCCCCCCCCCCTTCTCCGCCATGGATAGGGACACTTGCACTTGCACTTGCCTGTCCGCTTGAGTCCTGGTTCTGAGGAGCATGCCTTTCATGCTCAAATTATAAAGACTCGTGTCGGGATTCAACACTGTTCGGCTGAAATGTCACTTCACACACTCTAGGTGAGGGACAGTCGGAGTCAGCAGGAAGGGAGAGGTACAGAGAGAAAGAGAGAGAGGGAGGTAATAAGAAACAGGGCGAGAGACAGGCAGGCAGGCAGGCAGACAGAAACATAGACGAAGAGAGAGAGAGAGAGAGAGCGAAAAGAGATAGCCAGAGAGAGAGAGAGAGCGAAAAGAGAGGAGAGAGTGCAGAGAGAGTGCAGCGAGAGGAGAGAGTGCAGAGAGAGGAGAGAGTGCAGAGAGAGGAGAGCGAGCGAGCGAGAAAGAGAGAGAGAGAGGTGTCAGAAATTGACTTAGTTTGTGCATCCATGATGGAGGTTGACGAGCATCATGAGTGACGATGGCCGAAATGAGCCTATGACCATGCTCAACCAAAGAAGGCGAGACAATAATCGAGTCACTGACAGAAGTGCCCCCTTTGGGGTGAACATACGTGATAAAGTCATGTCTGTGTGCATTGTTAGAGGACACCAACGAGATGTCACAAGCTCACGAACAAATAGGGCCTAGTGTCAGTGTTAATCACCGCAGACAATTATATCTTCGTGACTGTGTTCACGTAGATATTGCAAGAGATCCCTGCAGCATAAGCTCCGCCTTCCTGGCAGCCGGATTGCTCGACCGGCACCCTGAAAGGATTCCAGGCTCGCACAGGCCTGTCTGCGACCCCCTTGGCCCTGGCCCATGTAGGCTTTGAGGCGGATCCGCTGGTGAGTTGAAAGAATAGCAACGTACCGTACACTGTAAACTCTGTAAACCCTAAACCCGAGCCAAGCATGGAAGCTTTAAGCTTAGTGCCAGGTTCCAAGGCTTCACCTCCATGTCTTGCTACGAGATCTTAATAGAGAACAAGGGAACAGGGTATGTTTTCTAATACCTATATAAGGGTTATGAAGGGATACAAGGTGCATCATTCCCCAAAACTCCCACTTATAAGAACTAGTAAGTCTCGAGCTTGAGACTCCTTCAGCAAGGCCGTCGGAGCACATGACGCAGCTCGGAAAGTACCTCATGACGGAGCCCGAACCCTGAACCCCACTACGAAAACCCTGAACCCTAAACCCTACCCCCTAAATTCTGCAGCTCTAAGAACCAGAAGTCCCAAGTTTTCGAATGCCCTCACACTGAACTCACTTTTCGGGGTTTGGGCGTTTAGGGTCCACATGCACAGGGGATGTTCCTTTTCGAGTGAACTGTGTGCATCATCGAAGGGTGCTTTTTGGTAGCAAAGACAGGCGCGCAGAGGGTTTAGGACGTTTCGGATCTCGAAGGCTGTTGTGAGTACATTCAGGACAACGATGGTTTCCGATGCTTTCACAGAAGGGTGCGAGTTCTGGAGCAATGTTTGGGTTAGAAAGTTCCGGTTTCTGACCCCAAACGTCTCCTGAACCCCGAACCCCTGAACCCCTGAACCCCTGAACCCCTGAACCCCTGAACCCCTGAACCCCTGAACCCCTGAACCCTGACCCCCAAAGCCGAAGCTCCTGGGCCTTGATATGCGCCTTTGTAGGACCTGGACATGCCACCGATCAATTGGCAGCCATGGGCCCAGCTTTTTAGAAACAAAGGACCCCTCCCCCCCAAATGCATGTTTTGGGGGCCTTTGTGGCTTTAAGGCTTCAAGATGTTTGGAGTTTGCTGTTTTAGGGTTCAGGGTATCCAGGGTTTACGCCCCCAGAAGTACCTCCTTCCCAACGGACCCGAAACTCTGAACCCACAAAACACCAGCAAAGGCGCTGCCTATACGACTCGGTGGACGAACCTTTCGACCTCATCACCGTGAGCTACGTGCAGACAGAGGCCGTCTCAAGGGGGGTTTGCTCCGAAACCCCTCCCCAAAAGATGAGCTAGAGATGTTTTGTATGTCATAGGCTGCATTTTTGTGCAGTTTACATATTGGACATTGTAATTTTAACGCTACGCGACCCGCCTCGGCCCGGCCCAGCGCATCCGCGTGAGCATGGTGATTCCGCAGCGCCCAAGTCGCTGGACCCCAAGCAATAAGGGTTTATGGTTTATGGTTTGGGGTTTAGGGTTGAGGGTTAGTTTAGGATTGAGGGCTTAGGGCTCAAGGTTCACGCTTTGGGGTTAGGGTTTTTTTGGGTTTAGGGTTCAAGAGACGGTTCGGCTTGGATTGATCGTAGGGTTGAGCCAGGCCCTCAGGGGCGGTGGGGGGGGAAGGGGGGGGGGGCAGGGGAGGGGGGGGTTTGTTGAAGGTTTGAGGGTTGAGTGCTTCTAGACTCTTCGGCTCGTGTCATAGGCGGGGGGGGGGGAGGGTGGCGGGGGTAGGGGGGGGGAAAAGGGGGGGGGCCCTGCTGGGAGGGGCTTGAACTGTTTCTGGTTGTGGCGGGCCGTGCGTGGGTGGCTTTGGGTGTGGGGGGGAGGATTTGGAGGGGGGTGCCTGTTCTCACAACCTATACACCTCCGGCCCGAGGCCTCGGCGGATTATTGTTGCATCATATTTGTATACACCGCATATCATATCTCATGCATTATGTCCTATACATGCTATATTGTTTTTTGTTATAAGCCTCCAACAGCCCATGCCTTGAATCCCTGAGCTCCAAGCTCACAAGAGGCTCAGGAAGTGGAGGGTTTCGGAGCCCTGAAAGCGGTTTGGGGTCAGGGTTCATAGGGTTCATAGGGTTCATAGGGTTCAGCGGGTTTAGGGTTTAGGGTTTAGGGTTTAGGGTTTAGGGTTTAGGGTTTAGGGTTTAGGGTTTAGGGTTTAGGCGTACCCTGAACCCCCATGAAACGCCCCAAAGGCATGGGCTCTGTAGGTCTTGGACGAGATACCCGAAAAGATTCCCAAGCCCTAAACCCTTAAAAGATCCCTGAATCCGGAAACCCTGAGCCTAATCCGAAAAGGATACTCGAGCAACCCCGAGGTGAAAGGCCAAGACTCGCGGGACGTCTTGGTGAAGCGCCTGTGGTCTAGGCCTGCGGGGTCGGCTGTTTTTGTTATTTTGTTTCGTTTTGCGAGGGGTGTGGAAGGGGGGGCTGGGGGCTAGAGTGTTCAGGAGCATCGGTTGGGCAGGTATTGTCGCTGGCTCGCCAGCACCATGAAAAGCCTAGCAGACAGTACTAGCCACGAGAACCTGCACTGCTCGTTCTTGCCACGGTAGCAAAACATGACCCCGCGTGTCTGCTGTAGCATGCAAATTGTACGCTGCATTTGGCTCACAAGTGGTAAAAACTGCCACTTCCTACATACAGGTTCATCTTGCGCGGTCGTCCTTGAAGCATTTGGTTGAACAACTGCTAAGGGGAGTTAGCACTTTGCACGTAGGCACTCTGCCAAACAAAGTGTAGTGGCAAAAGGCTTCGCAGAAGACAAAAGGACGACTGCGTTGAAGTTACATATAGTCGGGTTTGCTGTTGCTCAGCGGCCGGTGCCTGAGCACTTTTTCCACTGTCAATCGATGATGTGGAAGGATTTCAAGGAGTGTCTTCGAGGGTCTGGTCTATTGATGGGTGCCTGCACCGTATGAGCAACATTACAAGGCTGTACCCGCAGCCTCGAGCAGCTGCATCATCTTTCAGAGCACAGAGGTGGATCCGGGTTGGGTTGCAAGTTGCAATTTTTATAGGGTTATCCAGCTTTAGGTGGTTTCAAAAAGGCCTACGCGTTCATAGAAGCCCATAAGTGCTGAGGCGGATGCTGCGGGTGCTGCCATCTTTTGCTTTCCTGCAGCTCACGCTTGCCGGAGAGGGGGCCGCCCAGCCACAACTTGGCGAACATGTTACATGAAAATGTCTGTTAGGGTAGGAAGAGGTAGGGAGTTTTAGGGCTTACGAGGCACAAGGCTGCTGCCTCAAGTCGTCAAAACCCTGTTACGGTGCGGTGGGGGGGGGGGGGGGGGGGGGCGTTGCTGAGCATCTTAAGAATCTTAAAACATGTCCAGGGGTTTGAAGATCGAAGAGTTCCGATCGAGTGTCAAGGCCGTGGGGAAGCTCGATAAAAAAAGTTGTCATTCCGGAACCCCTGAACGCAGATAGCTCTCAGGTGGACCTGGTGATTCCTGCAGGATGCAGAGCTGACAACTTTCTGCTGGGGGAGTATGCGGGAGACGCGCCGCACGGCTTGTTCTGCCCCTCCCCAAGCCTCTGAACGTCTAAGGCTTCGAGGCTTCACGGCATAGGCAATGGGATCCTGTTGGGTTGTTTTAGGGTGTTGGGGCCTCTGAATTTAAGGCTTTGGGGCTTAGGGCTTCGGGTTTATCTCTAGAACCACCTCGTGGGCAGTTTAGGCCTTTAGTGCCTTGCAGTTATAAGGTTTATGGCAGTTTGTGGCCTTTGACCACAGCTAGGGTGTAGCCTAGGACCCCACAGCTTTAGGATCTTGGGATCTTGTTGCTTGACGTTTCGATGCTGTGGAGAGCTTCGGTAGGTTGCAAAGGGGGGCCGCAATCCAGGGCGTTTTGCTCATAGCAGCATTTGGCAGCAAAGGTACCATCGCGATGCCGACCATGATCAGATGCTGACCTTCACGCTGCAGTCCATCAAGCGGAGACTGGGGCTGGATATCTAGTTTTGTGATCTAGTTGTGAACTGAATAGACTTCTTAGGCCCCTCAGCCTTCAAACTTTCAAACCTGCGACTAACCTGTTACAATTGTTAAGAAGAAGGCTCCTGCGTGAGCCTCTTTGCTCAAGTATGTCATGAGGAACGCTCAATGGGCCCGCCGAATCTTCGTACTGCAGGACCTGGGGAGCATGTGGGCAAGCACTACACCGCTTCAGGGTTTTTTGGGAGGGTTTAGGAGGTTTCGGGAAAAGTGTTTTTGGAATAACCCGCTTCAAGCCAAGCCCGTGCCCGCTACACACCCCTAGATGTTCAAACGTCATGGTTAGTCTTGTACCCTGATGATTTTTCTCTTAGAGTTTCTCACCTTAAGGCCGACCCCAGCGAAAACTGCCCTCAAAATGCCATACCCCAAATCCCAAAACCTCAAAAGCAAAAGCCTGCACTCAAAACGCCGGACCTCCAGGACCCCAACTGCGAGGTCGTTTGGAAGATGCGGCTCCGTCGTGGGGCAGTCCCGGAGCCAGAGCCACGTGGGCAGCACTTCACGGGTTTCGGAGCTTCAGGAGTTTCGGGATTTGTCAAACTTCTAACTGTTCTAACTGTCTCCCGCAAGGGTTCGAACATGGTTTTCCGAGGTTGTCCTGTGCAGATGGGGCTTTCAGGGGCTCTGGGAGCGGGCTGACGGCTGCCTGAGGAAGACCACCTGGGTCGATCGCTGCAGCCTCTTTCCCCATCCCTCCCTCAGCAAGAAGGCGGATTCGGGTGGGGGCTCAGCGGGCTCAGTGTTTCAGGGTGACGGAGTGCGAACCCGCCCCAAGCATCCCTACAAGCCATAGAAGTAAGTTTCAATTGTCCCCTCAAAGCTAACTACGGCATGCCTGGTATTGCCAATACTTTATGGCATACGTGTAGGGGTTGTGGATGGCTTCGAGTCTGTGGAGGTCTTGTCTTGCCCAAACGGAGTGCGCGGCATCCCTAAAGCCTAAACCCTGAGGCCAGGTTGAGGGTTCGGGTGTCGGGTCATAAGCCCTAAGCTGCCTAAGCCCTTAGCCTTTTAGAAGCCGCGTTTGGACCGAAGACTATGCAGTAGCCCAGCCCCCCTGCCGCTTGAAAGCGTGTGCCACAGTGGATTTCGGCCCGTGAAAAGGATTTAGGGTTGATAGGGGCTAAGGTTGGTACGCTTTAACTTTTTGTCTGTGTTGGGAGGGCTAGCTCCTAGCGCCCCTCCCCTGCACCCGCTCGAGCCCCTTGAGCCTCGTACATGCCTCAAAGCTCCTCAAAACAACCAGCACAAGACCTTTCTAGGCACCAGCCACTCATGGACCAGCCCTGTACCATCCTTCAACCCTTCCCAAACCCTCAAACCTTACAAAAAAACCTTAAAAGCCGGAGACCGCAAAGCAGGGCATGAACCGATTCCGGAAGGAGGAGGCGTTCGGCGGGAGGGCGGCCATCGTAAGGGGCCTGACCTAGACGAAAGCCGAAAGTAGCGGTTCTTCAGGGTTCTCTGTCCCAATAGTCACAACCCTCGGCGTGCATGCGTAGAACTGGCGTTATATGTAAGGTAGCCTATAGCATTTCCAAGGTACGCCATGGCCCAGTTATTGCTACGCATAATCCTCCTAGCAGAAATTCCCACTGAGAAATGCCAGTGTGCTCAGTTCTCAGGCGATTGGGAGACGCTGCCCATCGCTGCCCCATCGCTGCCCCTCCCCTTGTTAGACTTTGAACATAGTGCCCTGCACCTTGAACCCTGCAGGCCAACTCAAATCAAAGTCCGGTCCCCCAACCAACACAAATGAGCGTAGCTTCCTTTCCCTGTCTCCGCACCTGGGATCTCTGTTTCTGGAAGCTGTGTTCTACCTAAACCTGGTCCCCAATGGCTTCTGCTCTCAAGCTTCTTGGAGACGTGCGCTGTCTGGCAAGAACCCCTGAACCCCCCCAAACCAGAACTGATTCAAGTCAGGGTTCCCTTGCAGGTGCCCCTAGTGATTGGGATGCCTTATCAACAAAAGCCTCCAAACCAAAATGGAAGCATGCTAACTGCCCCCTCCTGATCCCAAAGCATGCCTGCGATTGCACGTTGAAGGCTCTCCTTCTTCAGCTTGATGCTTCGTTCCCGGAGCTGGAGGTGTACCACCAGGTGCCATACTGTAACACTGTACCATGATTTGGGGGGAGGGGGGGGGGGTGGAGGGGGGTGGATGGAATCCAGCGTCCCCAGGTCCAGCCCCAAAGTTCAAGCTCCCACCCGAAATTTGGAACTCTCCGAACCCCAAACCCTAAAGCCCTACAACCCCTACAACCCCTACAGCCCCTAAAGCCCCCGAAAACCCCGAAAACCCCGAGCCCTCAGGGCCGGGACCGCAGCAGCTCGCTGCTGCAGTGCGGGCCCCCGGGGGTGCGAGTCGCTGAGGGCTTCTGGGGCGATGTGATGCCCTGAGCTGCCCCATTAGGCTTATGGGGTGGGTTGGTTTTTGGGCCGTGGGAGCTACTTCCGTCTTGGTCTTGTTGAGCTTCCGCGCTCTCCAGCATGGTGCAGAGATGTCGGCTCTTGGACAAGTTTGGTTTAGGGCCTAAAATTTCTGCGCCCTCAAGGGGCTCAGGTTTTGCGAGCCCAGAGAAGTTTGGGGATTCGGGGGTCATGCATTGAGGGCTCCGGGTTGAGACACAATGCGTGTCCGTGACAACACAGCTTAGGGAGGTTCTTTCTGGGCTGAGGCGGATTCAGGTGAGTTTCAGGGTTCACATGACAAACACACACCTGCACCTGCCGAAGTCTTAGTAAGCTCCTAAGGGCCTCAATGCAAGTTCCGGGGCATAGACCCCTGGCACCTGGAAGCTCTCTGGAGGTCCGGACGCCCTTTGCGCAAGCGCCCACGAGGGCGGGACGTGCATCTCCAGCAGAGCGAGGCGCCCGCGCGCATAGCTTCCAAGACCCAAAAATCTCGACAAAGAAAGGCTCAGACAAATGCGCGCCACCCCCAAAGAGGGAGAACAATTCCCAACCGTGGTTCTCTAAAATGCTCTTAAGCAGCTGTTGAAGTCAAAAGTTCTGAAAACCTTCAGGCAACATGAATCCCTACAAACCTTCAAGCAGAATGTGAGACCCTAAAGGCCCTGAAGCCTTGAATCCCTACAAACCTTCAAGCAGAATGTGAGACCCTAAAGGCCCTGAAGCCTTGCGCCGCAGCCCTAAAACCAATCCCTGAACCTGACGGCCTCTGCCTTGCAGGGGCCGCTGTGCCCGACGCGGAACGTGTATGCAGCAGGGGGCCCTGGAGGATTCCTGTGCCTTTAGAGGAGGTTTAGGGTTTGGGGTTTAGGGTTTGCGGTGTTGGCACCTCCAGCGCCGGGCGAGGTGGGGTTGAGGGTTTGAGGAGTGCGGTTTAGGGTTTACAGGTTAAAGGTTTACGGCCTGGGACTGTGACTCAGTGGTAGGGCAGGAGGAGTGAAAATAGGCACTATTCCAGGGATATGCATGGGAATTATCATGGGGATCCGGTTGATCCGCTCCTCCACGAGACCGAGAACTCGCTGTCTTGATAGCTTGGGCATCCGATCCCGAACCCCAGATGCTCATCCAAGCCCAGTGCTTGTAGTTCCTGGGCTAAGCGCACAGGACCTGGATCATCCTTTAAAACCCTAAACCCTAACAACGAGCAAATAAGGTTCAGTCTGTGATTCACAACGTTCCTGATCTGTCGGAGCGCTTTGTCTTCGTGGCCTGGATGCAAGTTCGAATGGACTTTTTGTTCGGGGGGGTTGGGGTGTTGGGGGGGTGGGGATTAACCCTCATTGTCTAAAGAGCTTTGGATGACGACGCATCGGTACAGACAGGGCCTCTTCATCTGTGGGCATGTCCCAGAGCTAGCGTCGACGCGCAGAGGGCATCATCTCGTCCTGTAGGCTCTGCGTTTCCAGGGTTTCAGATATTAACCCTGTACCTAAGAAGTTTGGGTTCTTCAACCTATTCGATATTCTGAACTGAAGAAGTTTCCGGGTGTGAAGAAGCAGGGCAGGGCTTGCTTGGGCATCGGCGAGAAACTTTCCCCAAAGGTTCTCGAGGTCTCCCACCACTTCTACCACTCCAACTTCTGATTAAGCGCGTGCATGGCCTCCCCAGCCCCAAGTGCTGTGAGGTGTTTGGGCATCCAAACACCCCTCGAGGGGTCAAGAAATTCTTGGTCTTAAGGCTGGGACCCTCGAGGGGTCAACAAGATCTTTGTTTCAAGGCTGGGAATGTGGCCTCAAGATATCTTCAAGATATGTTCGGATGGGGACCGGAGGATATCTTCAAGATATCTGCAGAACCTACCATGGATACTGGAATGCTCAAATCATCATGATCGAGGTCAAATTATCTTGACTCCGGATGCCGGTTTGGAAACTTTTGTGGTTAGACCCTTGAGTCTTTAAAGACTGCTGCAAAAACCTTCCGTAGCACCCCCAAGAACCCAAAGGTCTGCCCCCCCTCATACCCAAACCTCAAACCCCAAGAGCCTCCAGTAAAGCCTTGGGGCAGATGCCCTCAGGCTCTCCCTGGCGACGTGGCCGGGCTCCCAGCTGCCGAACCCCAGGGCATTCAGGGGCTTGGGGGTTCATAAGATGTGAATGGTTTAGGGTTAGGGGTTTTTTGGCCTTGAGGTTTAAGATCTTGTGAGGAAGCTTCGCAAGGGGGAGAGGCCGCATTGAAGTTTGTATAAGGTTGTGACTTTAAGGTTTGAGGGCTTTGGTGTTGGCAGGGCTTTATATTTGGGGAGACGGCCTGTCCAGGGTTCAGGGGCGTTGCGAAAACCACTCCGGATCCCGAGAGTCTTGAGGTTTCGAAGCCAACAACCGTGCAGACGTTCTTCTATGGGCTCAAGCCCAGGCCTGACAAGGGAGCCGTGGGGGAGGGGGTTAGGATTAAGGGTTTGGGTTTTAGGGTTCAGGGTTTGGGGTGTAGGTTTTGGGGTTCAGGGTTTTAGGTCTTACGGTTCAGGGTTTAGGGTGTAGGGTTTCCCCAAGCCCAAATACCCTTACGCCAGAGTTGTCAGGTATTCAGGTTTGGGGTGTTCAAATTTCCCGGAACCCGATACCAGGCCCAGAAACCACTAAATCAACCCTTTTTGTTTGGCCTTCTCTTAGGTTGGGGGTAGTCAGGGGGAGGAGGATCCCATAACAAGGTGCCCCATACAACCCTTCCCATCCTAGTCAAAGCCCCAAGCCCCAAGCCCTCAGTTATCCAGATCGTGTGCCCATCTCCAGTACCCAAGGACGATACGACAATCGATACCCAACAAGGGCCCAGAAGGTGGACCCCTAAACCCGAAACCTGAAACCTGAAACCCGAAAGCCCAAAGCCCTAAACCCCTCCTTCCTGGGGCAGATACCCTCCTGGACATGGGCGCACCCTCTACGCGAACTCGAGCATCGCCGAGCGGCTGGGCGCCGAGGCAAGGGCGGCTGGCCCGGGTTGGGGCTGAGGGATTTGGGGCTTTGCGGATGCTTCGGAGACCTGAGGGTGGGCACTCTCCTTATGAAAGAGTTCCCCAATAAGGGGCCCGATTTTTCAACAACTCTCATTTGCTCTGGAGGTTTGGGGGGTTTGGGTAGTTTTGAAGTTGACAATCTGGGCACAGGAGAAGGTTGCCGGCTTGCTCTCGGCATCTCGTCCCTGGCAGGGCCTTGAGCACAAAAACACACCCCCAAGCCTCCGACGTGTTCCCCAAGCATGGGGGCCTGCTTTTGTTTCGGGAGGTGCCTCACACCACGGGGGACGACCGGCGGGTCTGGGTGCGCAGCCTTAAATGGAAGGTTTTAGGGCTCAGGGCTGAGGGCTGTTGGAAGGTTTCGGGTTCAGGGCTTAGATTCAATCCAGGATCATTCAGGTGGAAAGTTTCCCTCATTCAGCCTGTGTCCTTCTATGACCCTGTGTGACTGACTGAGTGAGTGCCTTTGTATACTGCTTATAGAAGCCTCATGTTGGATAGCGTACCTGGAAACCCCCCCTTACTGAAGCTATTCTTCGCGTCTTATTTTTTCTCGGAGGGGGGGGGTATGTAGGAGGGGAAGGTTTGGTAGAGGGTTTGGGGTTGTAGGTTCAGGGCTTAGAGTTATGTATGTGTGTTGGTTGGGGGGAGGAAGGGCAGGGGGCGGAGGGGAAGGCGAAGGGGTTGTCTTTTCCGCGCCTTCGTTCCCACACAAAATGTGCAACATGTAATGTAAGCAGGCACAGGGGCACAGAGCCACCTTCACAAAGCCTCTCAAAATCCTGAAGCCCAGATACAATCGCCGTGGCACTTGGCTTGAAGGTTGAGGTTCCAGCGTCGAGCAAGGATTCAACCCTTTCAAGCCCCTTCAGCAACAAAAAAAGGTTCTCGCAATCCGCACTGCTGCAACAGCTGCTTGAGCACATGCCTTCCAAACCCAACCTCTCAGCCCTCGGAAATTTTCACAGCACACAAGCCCGTCAATCAGAACGCATCTCAAGAGTATGAAGCCTGTCCGCGAGGTGCCCATGACGAAGCACGTGGCACGACGTATCGAGCAGAGGTAGGGCCGGTTCCTTGAGTGCTTAGGGTCTGCGGGAGGGTGGGGGGTGGGGGGGGGGGGGCGGAGAACCCCCCAAAACATCTGAACCTTGCTTCGTCCCAAAAGCCTAATTCGATTAAATCCCATCCCCTAAACCTGAAAGCCCATCCCCCTGAGAAGCAGTGCAGCTTCGGATGTCTCTGGGATTCCTCAGACCACCTCCAGCTGCAGGCTACCGTAACACTTGGGCTGGTGCGGGCAGGTATCCGAAATGGTTCAGCTTCCTCCGCTCACACCGCAAGGCGCAAAGGGCAGTTAGAAATGGGGGGGGAGGGGTTAGGGTTCAAGAGGTGCAAATCCCTCGAATTAAGGTGTTCGGGTGGGGTTTTGGTTGTCGGGCGGCTTTAGGGCTTGAGGCTTCAGGCTAGGGCTTTAAGGTTTGTGGATTTCCATATCGGTATAATATAATATAATATATATATATATGTACATATACATATACATATGTGTATATATGTATCTATATATATATATATATGTATTAATTGATTTATATGTCTATATATATATATATGGGCGTCCGCCTATTGCGGTTCCCCTTATTTTTTAATAGGTTACATAAATGTATATATTTTAAACCCTAAACCATCGTCATAACCATGGCAACAAGTCGATGATGATGTAGGCACCCCAAACCTATAGGGTTAAGTTTGACAGGTTTAGGGCTTAAGATTGAGGCATTTAAACGTAAGCCCGCAATGAAACCTAAACCCTAACCGTTCAACCCGATAGAGTTAAGGTTAAGCGGTTAGGGTTTCAGATTTAGGTATTTTTAAACTTTAAACCGAAACCCATAGAGATTTAACCTTAAGGGTTCAAAGTTGTGCATTTAGACCTTAACCCTGATTCGTTTAGGGTCAGAACCCTAAAGCCCGATAGGGCTCTGCAAGGAACAAAGGTTTTGACCCTAAAGGGTGCTAAAGGCATACATGCCCAGACCTTAGGTTTTCTTGAACCATTGAACCCTACAGGGTTTAAAGGCTTAGGGTTAAAGGTTTGGGCATTACCAATACAATAGAACCTTAAAGCCCTATAGGGCTTCGGGCTTAAATCCCTAAACCTTAAATCCCATAGGGTTATGCCTATGTTTGTAGGGCTTTCGTCCCGGTGACGCGCGAATACTTTGAGCAAATGTCCTTCAAAATAGAAACAAAAAGGATAATTCAAGTTTTGCTTATCGGGGGATGGTTGTTTGAGATATCTTAGGTAAGGTAGAGTTTTCCGGATGGGTTTTGTTTTGCTTATTGGGGCGTGATGGGGTTACCGTCATTGTCTTATAGGTTTATTTACATGTATATAAATCAAACCCTGAACCCTAGTTATAGCCGCAGCAAAAAGTTATAACCTTGTCATACACATATATCCTACTTGCTGGGATTCAACATGTAAGCAAACTATCTCGTTAAATGATGGAATTCAGGTTTTGCTTATCGGGGGATGGTTGCTTGAGATATCTTAGCTAAGGTAAAGTCTTTGGGACAGATGTTTTGTTTCGCTTATTGGGGTGTGATGGGCTTCCCCTTATTCTTATGGGTTTACATAAGTGTATAAAAATCAAACCCCAACCCATAGTTATAAGCACAGCAATAAGTTATAACCTTGTCATATAGATATTTCCGCAGAGCTCGTCAAATCCGATCATGATGTAGGCACCCCAACCCTATAGGTTTAAGGTTGACAGGTTTAGGGTTTAAGATTGAAGCATTTTAACCTAAGCCGGCAATTCAACCTAAACCCTAACCTTTAAACCCTATAGAGTTAGGGTTTAAGGAGTTAGGGTTTAAGGCGCAATCCCATATAGTATACATACACTTATGAGCAGAAAAGACACGGGGGACACTGCTTGCGATTCAGAATATTCGGAGCAGAAAAGACACAGGGGACACTGCGTGCGAATCAGGCTTTTTAGGAGCAGAAAAGATGCGGACGAGGTACCTCGGCAGGAGCACCATTAAACCATTAAACCATTAAACCATTAAACCATTGAACCTTTAAACCCTTAAACCATTGAACCATTAAACCATTAAACCAATGGTTTCCCCCTTATGAGAATCCCCTAAACTATTAAACCATTGAACCATTAAACCATTAAACCATTAAACCAATGGTTTTCCCCATATGAGAATCCCTGAAACCATTAAACCATTAAACCATTAAACCATTAAACCATTAAGCCATTAAGCCATTAAGCCATTAAGCCATTAAGCCATTAAACCATTAAACCAATGGTTGCCCCCCCCCCCCCATGAAAATGGTTGAATGGTTAAGGGGATTCTCATATGGGGGAAACCAATGGTTTCATGGTTTAATGGTTTATGGTTTAATAGTTTAATCGTTGAGGGGATTTTCATAAGGGGGAAACCATTGGTTTAATGGTTTAATAGTTTAATGGTTTAATGGTTTAGGGGGTTTTTCATAAGGGGGGAAACCATTGGTTTAATGGTTTAATGGTTCAATGGTTTAATGGTTTTGGGGATTTTCATAAAAGGGAAACCATTGGTTTACTGGTTTAATGGTTTAACGGTTTAACGGTTTAATGGTTTAATGGTTTTAGGGATTTTCGTATGGGGAAACCATTGGTTGAATGGTTAAATGGTTTAAACTGTTTAAGGGAATGTGCAAAAAAAAACACAGGGGAACCGCTATAGGCGGTGACCCATATATATATATATATATGTGTGTGTTTTTTTTTATTGTTTTTATCTTTTTTTTGTGGGGGGGGGTGGTTCTGGGTTCTGTGGTGCTCGTCGGGATGACGTGTGGTGATGGAGGTGCAAGGCCGTCGTTTGTTGGTGGACCATGCTCGGATGTCCTGGGATGCCCCGTCGTACCCTCATTCTGTTTGAGGGTTTAGGGTTTAGGGTTGGGATCCCTTATACACTCACTTCAACAAACAATGACCCCTTTTGTACTCACAGGTGGTAAGATGGAGGCGGCACACAAGTAACACCACACCCGAAACGAAGATAGAGTCTGAAACCCAATCCTGCACCCCGAAGCTTTTCCCACAACCCTATCGCCCCAAAAAACCGAAGCCACCGAGGCACCTACTGCAGAGTAAAGCCTACAAGCCCTACGCCCTCACCATAAGTGTCACCAGGGCCGCTACTCAAGCAAGCTCGGCTCCTGTGGGACTAGCGACAGCGAGAAGGCACCTGCCACCAGCAGTGTCTTTTTTTAAGTTGTTGGTGTTTTTTGTTTGTTTTGGGGAGTTTAGGGTTGGGGTTTGGGGCGCTTCGGGGGTTCAGGAGTTCAGACGTTTAAGGGTTTTTTCTCGCAGGTTGTTTAATGACTTTGTCGGGCTTAGGGTCTTCACTTCACACATCTGAAGGGGTGTAGGGTTGTGCACAGAGAACCCTCGGCCTGCCGATGTTTGCCGCAAATACAATGGCTCAACTTTTGCGAGGAGTTGCACCTCGGGTCCTAGATTTCGGCTCGGACTGCCCCAAATGCAGTCGCTCGATTCTGAATTTGGCCCCCAATACGCGTGCAAAACGGCTTCCAGAACCCGCCTACGGCCTCCTTCCGGGGGGCAGCTGGGCCCTGAAGCCTGATTTTCCCAAGCCCTAAACAGTTGAAACGTTTCAACCATAATGAAAGCCAGATGCGCTGTTTGGAGTACTTTCCCGGGCCCCCAATGATTTGTTAATTACTTACCTTCTCGGGGTTGGTTTGGGATTTGGTTTGGGATTTCATGTTTGGGGTAGTTTAGATTTTTTGTGTTGGTGTGGCGTTTAGTCCTGTGAGTTCAGGGTTTTAGGAAATTGCTGGTTTTCCTTGGAGGCAGTGCCTAGCTCTTGAGCCCTACACCCTGAAACCCTAAGCTCCACAGACCCCTTCCCCCGAACCACAAAGAAGAAAGCAAAACATGAAACCTAAACCCTACACCCAACACCCCAAACCACACCCCAAACCCTTTAAACCCCAAGACCTAAGCCCGAAACCCAAACCGCAGCTGCGGGTGCAGGAAAACAGTCCAGAGGAGGCCCTGCAAGGAATCTGGTGGCTGGGGCCTTGGAATCCGTGGAGTTGCCGCCGCAGCCGGGGGTTTAGGGTATAGGATTTGGGGATTCAGGGTTTAGGGTTTAGGGTGTAGGGTTTCTTTGGGGAGGGCTTAGGGTTTTGGGTTTAGGGCGGAGGGTCGAGGGTTCAAGATCGAGGGTATTTATAGAGGTCTATTGGGGAGAGCGGTGTGTGGTGTTACAGGGCTTAGGGGTCTTGGATTGCAGGTTTGGGCTTTTGGGTTCCGGGGGTTTGCGGTTCGGGGTTGGAGGTTTAGGGTTGTGCCACTAAGTTCAGGCTCAGGGTTCGGGGCGTTGGCTAGGAGGGGCTCTTCAAAGTGCAGCTCATCGAGCATCTGGATCTCCAGAATGGTATTCTTGAGTGTTACCAGCTTACGGCTCCGGGCTCCGGGGGCTGAATGTTTTCGGGTCCAGGCCTTCCATTTGGACTTCATGACTCTGGTGTTCCAGGGAAGTTGGGGCTTCGGGGCTGTGGCTGGGTGTTCTTTGTGCAGCGGAGGTGGTATCTGACTTCGCATCCGCATTCTGGCACTCGACACTATGGCACTCTCTTCAAGGCGGCTGTTTTTCGAGAGATCAGGGTTCACGGTCCCAGGCGTAAGACCCAGGCTACTACGCTTATTGTAGGGACATGGGTTTCGTCACCGTGTGGGGACTGGGCCGGATCAAGCTCGTCCTTCAGCATGGTGATGGACGCCAGCTTGGAAACCTAATTTTAGAGGCTACCAAATGCTTGCGAAATTGCCCGGATTCCTTTAATTTAGACATCCCTTGCCTAAGCCCTGAAACACCATTTCGATGCAAGGGCCACATGGGGCCACTGCAACGAGCTTGCACAGTGACTGCCTCCATATGAGCTTGATACAGTATGCGTCGCCGCCTGCAACGATCAGGATGTGCTCGGGTCAACAGGGTTTGGGCTTCAAAGGCTTACGCTCATGCCGTTCGGGGCTGAATGAGACCTGAAGTCCTGGGCCTCAGAATCCCAGGCCCAAGCACGTTACCCCAGAGCGCGAACTTGGAATCCCCAAACCGTTAACATCCCTGGGCCTGCCAGGAAACGCAGCTGGGGGCGAATGCAGAAGAGTGGCAGACGCTCATGAATGATCCGGCCGCTACCATTGTGAGATTTGGTGGCAGTTTTTGAAGAGGCTTGAAATTAAGGAGCTATTGAAAAGGGGGGGGGGGCTTTGTAACGATAACAAACCTTCAAAACCGCGCATCCCCAAAATATGTGCAACTTATCGTAGTGCGGGCTGCGCTCTGCTAAGGAAAGCCCCACCCGAAGACTCAACATTTTGACTTGAGGCTCAGGTTAGGGCACAACCATAGGTCAATATACTATACTATACTTTCTCTCTCTCTCTCTCTCGCTCTCTCTCTCTCTCTCGCGCCCTTTCTCTTTTGTCTTCCGAAGATCCGAGGAGCATCGAAGATGGCCTCGATGGACGCGAGAACGGGGTGCTTTTCCGGCGCACGTGCCCCGACATGTTGGGTGGGCTCAGGGTTGTACTCCTGCTTTGGGTCCCGAAGCCCTAAACTACACCCTAAACCTAGACCTTACACCCGGCATGCTAGTTAAACAAAGGTTGGCGCGGCGCAGGCAGCTACGACACCAGCTCCAGGCACGTGCAATGGTCTCTTCAGCCTGCGAGGGCGTTGAGGGCCGTCGAGGGCAGGTTTCAGGATTTTACGAGTTTTAGAGCCCTCTTGGATTTTAGGGCTTTGCGGTTGTGACTGTTTTGCGCCGTTTGAGCAATTTCTCTTGGAATGAGCACGTGGGCTGTAGATGGGGGCAACGTGGCGAGATGCCAGGCCCGTTACTTGGGCGGACGCCCTCCAAGCCTACACCCTTAATCTACATACAGCCTGATCCACTGTACAGCCTGAAACCCTGGACCATCAACCTAAACCCGACATGCTAAACCCGAAACCCTATAACAAGCCTTTTAAACTCATGAGCCCTCGACGCGAAAGATGACAGGGCCTGATCGCTATGGAAATCAGCGCAGAGGGCGGGGCAGCACCATCGACTCTGGGCTTGGAAGTTGGTTTGTTGGGTTTTGGGGGGGCGGGGGGGGTTTAAGGGGTTTAGGGGGTTTGTAGAGTTTATGGAGTTTATGTGGTTCAGTGTTTAGGGTGGGGGTTGGGGCACGGTGTAGGGTTAAGAGTTAAGAGCGGGCTGAGCGCTTGATTCTTCCTGTTGGAGCTGGTCAAAGCCCCCTTGTGGGTTCTTTCTATAGTCGCATCACCCACCTGCAGCAAAGACCCAAAAAGGGGCTCCCTAAGCCCAAACCCCTGAACCCTAAACCCTGAAACCCTAAACCCTCCAGCGCCACCCTTACACCAATCGACTTCAGCTCAGGACTGACCCAGAAGATGTGGCTGGTATGCAGAGCGGGCATCAGGGCTTCGGGTATGGAACGCTTCTCACTTTGGGTGTGGGAGGGATTGAAGTCTTAAAGCGGGTTGCTGTAGGTTTCTCAGTCCGACCGAATTTCGAAGATGATTCCACTCCTTGTGGGCCCTGAATGACTTCCAATATCCCCCCCTCCCCTAAACGCGAAGCCCTGAAATCTCTGCACTCCAACACCCCAACTCCCCAACTCCCCAACACCCCAACACCCCCACACCCCAACTCCCGAACACCCCAACACCCCCACACCCCAACACGCCCAACAGCCCCAACAGCCCCAACACCCCAGCACCCCAGCACCCCCACACCCCCAACACCCCCAGCACCCCAGCACCCTCCAGCACCCCAACACCCAACCAACACCCCAACACCCAACCAACGCCCAACCCAAGAAGCTCAAGCTCTCAGTCAGGATCCCGCCGAGCTTGCGGAGCCTCTGCAGCAGCCAACAAACTCGGGCCTTTTGTTTGGTGGCCTGGGGGTTGGAGGGCGTTTTGGGGGGGGACTTGGGGTTTAAGGTTTAAGTTCTTGGGGCTTCAGGCCTGTTTTGATTGGGCATCAGGCCGAGAGAGGTTGGTGAAGACACCTGGGGTGAGAGTGGTGTCGAACGCAGGGTTTAGAGGCTCACTGGTGTTTTGATGGGGGTTCGGGGTCTCGCTAGGCTTTAAGCTTGCTGGGCTTTCTCTTGGCTTGTTTTTTTTTGTTGCCTTGTTTTTGTTTTTTGTGATTTTTGTTGGAGGGTGGGTGAAATGACATGAAAAAGTTCAACTTTGAAAGCAACAGCCGTTTCTTCCCTACTTAGAAATTCTCAAGTGCGATTGGGGGGGGCTTCGGGCTTATGGGCTGTGCAGGCTTCAGGGGCTGAAGCCTCACAGCCTCTTAAGACCTAGAAACCCGAAAGCATGCTAGACCATGCTAATCCTCTAAACTTTAAACCGTGCTAAGCCCCTAAACCCCCTGCGCAAGCGCAGACTCCCCATCCTCGGCCCAGTCATAGCGTGCCTACACAGGGGGCACGACATGCTGTAAGCAGCTAGTACTGTAAAGCTGCAGCACTGGATCCAGACAACCCCCCCCCAACATGTTCCAAAGACTTGCTTCGGGCCTTATGGAGGTGTTACAGGGTTTCGCAGGGTTGCATAGGGTTTTACATTGTGTTATTGGGCTTGATGGGGTTTTGATAGGGCATTTGGGGTTGATAGGGCGTGTGGGGGGTTGCAGGGCTTGTAAGGGTTTCTTCTCCCCTCGATGCCGCTCGAGGCCCCACGTATTCTGCTTGCAAACCCGACCAGAAACGAGCCAAGGCACTGGCATCTTCGGGTAGATACATGCGCTCCGAGCAGTGAAAGATGGGCCTGGATCTGTGGAAGACCCCGAAAAGCCTTGAAACCCGTAAAGCCCCAGTCTAGGCCCTAAGCTTCTTCAAGGATTGTAGCATGTGGGTCCAAAAAACCTAAACACTCGACCGTAGAACAAGATAGTCAGGCTCCCAGTACCTAGTCAGGTCAACTAAACCTAAACCCTATACCCTGTAACCCTTGCCAACAACAACCTCCAAAACAGAGCCGGCGGCTGGTCTTGCACTGCTGAGCCATGTTAGAGACCGAGCATGGCAGGCACGACAAAAGAGGATCCAGGGTTTATGGTTAAGATCCAGGGGTTATGATTGAGAAGCATGTGTACTCTGGTGTGGAGTGTAGGGTGCCAGGGTTCAGGCTTGCTGGCTCTGGGTCGGGGGGAGGGGGGTGGCCTGGGGAGCCACGAACCTCATGATGGTGGTTGGTGTTTGCTTGTAGGGCAGGTAAGCCCATGTCGGGCAGCATCCGGATCTAATGGTAACAAGTCAAAATTCGAACCCCAAATCCTAGTAATTTGTCAAGACCCAAACCCTGAACCCCCGTACCCTGAGCCGTTTGGTTCCGTTCAAGATGGGAGGCGTCTCTTTGGAGCTCCGGCTTAAGCCGCCGGCCTAAATTCCCAATCCCCAACTGGTTGTTTGAGGACTGAGGTCGGCGGGTTGAACTTCGTCTTAGGTGTTACAACGCCCTCTTTTCATAACCCAGTGGTTTGCATTTCCCTTCAAAGCCCAGCCAGTGAGACCTTAAACCCCTATAAATACGAGGCCACTGAAGCCCCAAAGCGCCGAAGTCCAAATCGCACACCTTGCAACCTCCAAAAAACCTCAAATCTCCGAAAGCACACAAGCCACAAACCGAAACCCAAGCCGCGAGCCCTAGACCCTTACAAGACGAAGGAGGTCTTGACTTACGCCTCCAGCCTTCCGAGGAAGTAGCAAAAAGCATAGTGGATACCAGGGTTCCAAGTGCAGTATAGCAAAGCTCGCATCCCTAAAGCCTGAGACCGAAGCCCTATAAACCCTATCAGCCCTGTGAGCCCTACATACCCTATCAGCTCTGTGAGCCGTGCCCTATCAACCCTATGAACCCCACAAACCCCATAAACGCCCTGCAAAAACTCACAACCCCCCAAAAACAACTCATAAGGCCTCAAGAACCATTTCCCTCACACTGCAGCGCCATTCTTACGAGGCTCCGGCCTGGGGGAGTGCCCGGGGCCTGTGGAGTTTGGGGCGTCGGGGGTTTGGGGCCTTTAGGGTTTAAGGGTTTTATAGAGCTGACGGGCTTTATCGGGCTCATAGGTCTACAGGGTTGATGGGCTTGTAATTGTAGTGAGGTTTATAGGGTTTATAGGGCAGGCTCAACGGGTTAGATGCATGTTCGTGTTGGGTTCTGTATTGGCTAAAGACGGCAAAGGAGGGGCAGGTTTCTGGGTAACAATGAAGAAACCCTCTAGATACCATAAGCCCTAAGCTCGAAACTCGAAGTACCTAAGCCCTAAACTCTAAACCCTATAAGCCCTAATACACCCCATCGACCGTTGCTTCCGCCGGGAAAAGAACGCCTCGCCCTATGAGGCTGGTCCTCATCGAGCCTGGCACACCGACAGGCCTCGCCCTCCATGGGAGATGATTGGCAAACTATTGCGAATAAAAGTCCCAGAAATGTAACTGCATCTATTGCATATGCATGTATATATGTAAATGTATATGTATGTCTTTATTTGTTTGACAATTTCATAAGATATGGAATAGAACATAGTGTAATATTGTGCAGGTCTTCCTTTCGGAGTTAGGGTTTGGGGTCTAGGGGTTTTAGTGATGAAGGTTCAAGGTCTCTTTTCGGATCCGATAACGGACATGGTTCAGAGAACTGCTCATATTGGGTACCCTAGGTGTTAAGGGCGTCTCTGGCACCCTGCAACAGCTTTTGGAACCCTTTCTGAGCTTCCGAAGAGCTAAAGGTCATCCTTGAGCCCTGCAACCCCAAAAAGCTCTTCAACCTGAGGGCCCTAAGAGTGGATGTACAGCAGGGTTCCGGTTCATGCACCACACGCGCGAGATGCTGATCAGCCGTGTCGGGCCAGCGACCAAGGCATGTTTGGTCTCGGGGGTTGAGTTGAGTTGAGGAGGGGGGGGGGGGGCGGGGATTGGGGATTCGTCAGGATTATATACCAGGATTACCTTAGAGATGTACTCCCCGGACTGGCCTCCATGGTGTGTAGGGTTTTCCGTGCTTTAGCTTAGCAGTCATGCTTGAGGCACTGTGCATTAGCGGTTCAGGGGTTAGCTAGACTTGAAATGAAGGTTGATGACGGGAACTTCGGGTTGAAGGGCTTACGAAAAAACGGCTAAGTACTTAACTTTACGGATA